TTTGGGTATTTCCCAGTTGGAGGCATAAGTATTTACAATTGATCTTGATGGATAGACCCCTTAATTATCATATAATGCCCTTCTTCATCTCTTGTTATAGTCTTTGGTTTAAAATCTAGTTTGTCTGATACAAGTATGGCTCTTCTGGCTTTCTTTTGACTTCAACTAGCATGATAGATGGTGCTCCATCCCTTTTTTTTTTTTTTTTCATCCCTTTTCAATCCAGAGGTGACTTTGGGTCTAAAATGAGTCTCTTATAGGCAGCATATAGATGGATCTTGTTTGTTGTTGTTGTTGTTGTTTTTGTGCTTTCCGATACCCTATGTCTTTTGATTGGAGCATTTAGTCCATTTACATTCAGAGTGATTATTCAGACATGAATTTAGTGTCATTGTGTTACCTGTAGAGTTGGTGTTTCTGGTGATGTGCTCTGGTTCTTTCTAGTGTTTATTGCGTTGGCCTTTTTTTCTCCCCTCCAATTAAGTCCCCTTAAAATTTCTAGTAGGGCTTGGTTAATGGTCATAAAGTCCTTTAGTTTTGTGTCTGGGAAACTCTTTCTCTCCCCTTCTATTCTTGCTGGATAAAGAATTCTTGGCTGCACTTTTTTCCCATTCAGCACATTGAATATTTCCTGCCACTCCATTCTGGCCTGCCATGTTTCAGTGGACTTGTCTGCTGTTAACCTTTTGTGTCTATCCCTGTAGGTTAAGGACCTTTTGTCCCTAGCTGCTTTCAGAACTCTCTTTGTATTTTTTTTTTTGCAAGTTTCACTGTGATACGTTGTTTTGACATGTTTTTGTTGATTTTGAAGAGAGTTTTCTGTGCCTCTTGTACTTAAATGCCTGTTTCATTTCCCAGATTAGAGAAGTTTTTGGCTATCATGGTTTGAATAAACCTTCTGCCCCTTTCTGCTGCTCTTTTTCTGGGACTCCTTTGATACCAATATAATTTCGCTTTATGGAATCCTTGAGTTCCCTAGGTCTTCTATATCACCTATTCTCTCATCTGCTTCTTAAGTCCATGTTGTGACTATATCCAGTCAGTTTTTTTGTTGTTTTTTTTTTGTTTGTTTTTTTACAAATAGTTTATTGTCAAATTAGTTTCCTATATCCAGTCAGTTTTGCATCTCAGTTACAGCATTTTCTATTTTGTCCTGACTAGTTTTTAGGTCTTTGATCTCTGTAGCAAGGATTTCTCTGGTGTCCTCTATGCTTTTTTCAAGCCTACCTAGTAATCTTTTGAGCAAGTTCCTGGCTGTGACTTCTTCTTGACCTTTCTTTTGGGGAGACTTCCTCCATCTTGTCACTTGGGGTATGTTTCTAAATTTTGTGTTTTGGAAGCTTGTTATGCTTTCTGCACCTGAGAGTAAGGCTATATTAAAAAGGGATCATACACAGTCCAGGGCCTGGTGCTTCAGGACAGTTTGTGGTGTATGCTGTGTGCACTCTGCTGCTGTGTTTTGGCTGCTCTTTCCCACTTGTCAGTCATCTGCAGAGCTCTTCTTTGCCTGCAGTGGGGAGTGTATGGACCTTTAACTAGGTGTGCTTTGATTTGTTAAAATAAGCCTGGAAAAAAAGAAAGAAAGAAAAAAGCTTCATCCCAAAAAAAGGAGAAAATGAAAGGGAATAAAAAAGCCAAACAAAGGATTATAAATAAACCTGATCCCAAAGAAAGGTGGGGGGGGGGGGGAGATAAAATGAAAGGAAAAAAAGAAGTCTGATCCAAAAAGAGAGAAAGGAAATGAAAAAACAAACAAACAAACCACCTGTAAGTCTGATTCCAAAAGGAAAAAAGAAGTAAAGAAACAAAACTAAGCCTGGCCCTATTTCCACCAGAACAGCAGGTGATGCTTTGAAGCACTCTATTTTCATACTTGGTACATGCAGGGGACTGCATGTGTTGGTCTTCTGGAGGAGAGGCCTGTTGTGCTGAGTCCATCCTTCCCTAGGAGTATGCAGTTGCCATGCACAAGGCAACGGGGTTTGGTGTAAGTGGTTTCTGCCTCCACTGGGGGCCACTGTGTTGCTCTCTGATATCCCACCCTGTTGGTGTTGAGGGCGAAAATGGCGCCACCACATTCTCTGGTCCTAAACCCTCACAGAATAGTGAGGGCAGCAAAGTTGCCTACTTCCCAAACCAGAGTTTGAGCTCCACACAGTTTGCAAAAAACCTGTGGCACTCAATACCTCTTGCTTCCCCGCTCCCCACCCCCACATCGTCAGAGGTTCTCCTCTTATGCAAACCGGATGCTGCACTCTGTCATCTCTCTCCCTTTTGTCTCTCCCTCCCCTCTGTGGCACCGCCATTTTTCTCTCCAATTCACTTCCATGCATATGCCACAGTCTCTCTCCAACTGTGGAAATCCTTCTGCTAGCCCTCAGATCAATTTCCTGGGTGTTGCAAGTGATCTGATCTCAACACAGCTATATTTGAGGGACAAGGAAAGCCTAGGGTCCACCAGCTTCTCCACCATCTTAACTCCGTCCCAAGAATACCCGAATTTGCAGTATAGATCAATAGCAAAGCTTTTGCTATCTGGCCTCTTTTACAAGTTTGAGAAGTTGCTGTGTTTGCTAATAACCCAGTTTTAGGCTAAGTTGAGAGAACTAGAAGCAGTGAAGTGGCCCACCGAATGCCCTTCATTAGTATAGTTCATGGTAGATTATGTCATCATGCAGCACGTCTGTTTTTAGATCTTAATCCCAAGGTATACCACCGTCCCTCCTTTTCCTTAGATCACTATGCTTCCTTAGATGGCTTATAAGTTTTACTTGTACAAAAAATAATTGAAATCTATTCCTTGAAGGCGCTCTTTACAGAGCAAAATGTGGCAAGACTGTGTTTTGAAAGCATAAAAAGGAAGTATTTTAAATGTCTTGATTAAATCATCCTATCAGTCTGCTCATCATTTGAGAGAAAGCAGTTCTGTGTATGAAGACACTAAGAGTATATAACTGTACTTCTCTTGTGTGCATGTGTCTTTTCAAGTGTGATCTTTCTTTCCAGTTTCAGAAATGACTATCACAGTTGCCATTCCTAGGAATTTAGTATGTTTTTAGCTGAAAAAATAACAACTCTTTAGTGCTTGCTTTTAACACCTGTCTTTCAAAACTGTAATTAATTACTTCTTTTTAACTTTGCTTAAGTTCCTCTTCCCTTCCATGGAACATCAAGGCCATCAAGGCAGTGTATATGGCTTTTATTTTCATCAGAACGACCTTTGTTTCTACTGGGTCTTCTCCCCTTTCTGTTCTGCACCAAGATTACAAACGTGTAGTCAAATGAATTTACCATTCATAACTAGCTCCGAAAGCTCAGCTATACAAAGGAACCCTAATAATCTCACATACTGTACTGAAATGATCCTGCAGCAGAATCTCCTTTGGAAAGTAACAAAACATTCTGTAGGAGTATTAATTTGAAAAAATAATCCATTTACTCATCATGCTCATTTTGTTCATATTTTTAAGTTTTCAAATCCTTTTTCCTCTATTAGTCAACCAACTCTTGTTGAAATCAAGGAGAAAGAAAATTTACAATGCATTTTCTGTATGGGCTTTTAGGCACATCCAAAGATGTGCATTTTGAATACTGTCTATTTGATAATGGATAACCAATGTCAAATAATAGGAAAGTTTAATAACCAAATAAAAACTAAATATTAATATTCACAGATAAAAAGTTTGAAAATTGTTCTTTGGACTTTCTTCAGGAACTAAGATTTAGGATAACCATAAAATGAACACTTAAGTATTGTTATCATATATATAAACAGCAAGAGAAAAACCTTTTAACATAAAGACTGTTAGGAAAGGGACCAAAAGGGGCGCCTGGGTGGCTTAGTTGGTTAAGCGTCCGACTTTCGCTTTGGTCATGATCTCGCAGTTTGTGGGTTCGGGCCCCGCGTTGGGCTCTATGCTGACTGCAGCTCAGAGCCTGGAGCCTGTTTCAGTCTGTGATTCCCTCTCTCTGACCCTCCCCTGCTCATGCTGTCTCTCTCTCCTAGAAATAAATAAAACATTTAAAAAAAAAAAAAAAAAAGGAAAGGGACCAAAAATCGAAAAGCAGGAAAGTTAATACATTTGATTTCACTTACCTTGCAAGTTTTTTTTTTTTTTAACATTTTTTAATGTTTATTTTTGAGAGAGAGAGAGAGCACAAGCAGGGGAGGAGCACAGTGAGAGGGAGACACACAGAATCGAAATGCGCTCAGGCTCTGAGCTGTCAACACAGAGCCCAACATAGGGCTCGAACCCATGTACTGTGAAATCATGACCTGCGCCAAAGTCAGACGCTCAACCGACTGAGCCACCCAGGTGTCCCCCTTGCAATTTTCTACTCTTCTGTCAGAATCAATAATGAATACAAAAGTGCCATACATTAGTTACACTGTATTAGGGAGAATATGCTAATATAAACATCTGTTGTAATGAAGCCCTGGGGAAAAAAACACTGGCTGAGGCAGGATTTATGTTCATTTCAATCTTATAAGACAGTCTGGAGATGGGCAACCCAGGCCACTTATGGTAGCACTTCAACAAAACTGTATAGCACCCCCAGGATCCTTCGTGTGGTTCTCTTCCCAAGTAGTGTTGTCTCTTCTGGAGAATCCAGGATGGCACACCATCAGAACACTTCCAAGCAACAAGCTTGAGAAAGGGCAAAAAACTGTCATACCATTTTGAATGACCCATCACTTCTCACATTTCATTGGCCACAATGGCAATGAGAGAATGGGAAATGTCTCTGTTATGCAGGCAACGTGCATAGGTGAAATCTACGGTTCCATCACTATATGAAGAAAGGTCACTGGGGAAAATCTGTGTTCTCAGAACATATTTCATTAGATATTAGCATAATTAGAAATATAAACTTAAAAAAGCCATTCTGGGAATACAGCAGGATTTACTAGCTGACTATCATTCTGGGCTTTCTTTTCTGAAGTATTAGTTTACTTCCATCATTCACTAACCAAAAGCAATGATGTACAAAACAATGAATGAGTTTCCAAGGTATGTTTTATTGGTTAAAACCAAAATAAGGTAATGCAATTGTCTGGTCTGCCAGTTCTATTATAGAATTAGGTGAAAAGGATTTTTCATTTACAATTCCTTCATTGAGGGAAAAGGAAATTTTTTTTCCTCATAAAGTAATAAAATATTGGTTAGTCTTGGCAATTTATTTGGCTAAGCAACTTCGGGGTACTAGAACAAAAATAGTTCTTTAATTTTTATCAAATAAGTAAAAACTAATAATTTTGTTACAGCTTCTAAAAAAATCGGTAAAACTGTAAAGCAGAGAAGGATTTCCCAAGCTATCCATGTATGTTTCTCCTTCATTAAGAGAGAAAAAAATGTCTTCGTGATTTTGCTAAAAGATCTAACAGTTCAGAGGTAGTCATGGAATGTCTTAAAGCTCCATCCTACTGATGAATCCTCTTTGTATCTTCCTATGCAGAAGACTATTTAAGTCACATTACATAGCAGTTACATAATCCAGTACAATATAGCCGTAATCGGTTTGGCACAAAAGCTCTCAATTCTGTTTGCATTATGTTAGGTACGAAGTTGTCCATCAAATTTATTAAAAACTACCCCTGATGTAGTCTTTAGAGTCAAAGTTACAAAACTGATACATATAAAGTGAAATACACATATCCCAATTTCCATTTTCTAGGAAAGGCAGAGCCCGAAAGTTTTATATTGTGAAAGCCACTTTACAGGTGGCTTCATTTAGATGACCCAAGATGAATCAGTGTCATTATTGTTGTATAGCTGTGAAACAGATCATCATCCTTCATCTCATTACATTTCTTCAATATGAAGTTCCCAGTGACTATGCGATCACATCCAATTTCTCCATTTCCAAAGAAGCCAAATAAAGGAACACTGGGAAAATACTTTCTGAATGCATCAGCCTCAACATTCCCCTTGGCTCTGTAATACTGAAAACCCCTGCCAACACATGCAAACATGAAGCCAATGGTATTCTGTTCCGGGATGCTGGCAGCTTTGAGGCGCTGCATCGCAGCCTCAGCAGTCTTCTCGTCATTGACCTCCTCATTGAGAAGCACGGTGGCACTCTGGATTCGGTGTCCACTAAATGACAGTCCAACCACACCAGTGGCATCAATATCCAGAGGGTTTCTGGAAATTCAATTAGAAAAGTGTGGTGATACACCATGAAACATATAATGAGAATATAAATTTTAAAGTGTAAAGAAAACTCCTGATCCACTAATTAGGAGTTACTGCCTTTAAAAGCCTACGTTAGTCTGAGGCTCACCTTCCCAGACAGGAGGAGTGTAACAGGGGTTAACAATTAAACTATTAATACATTTAAAAGAATGCAGGGAAGCAGATCTGTGAAGAAGTAAGCAACTACTTTTTTAGTTACAAATTCAAGGGGCAAATGCATGTCCACATAGATTTCTGAAACCCATCCTGGGTTTTTATTTATTTTATTTTATTTTTATTATTATTATTTTTTAATGTTTATTTCTGAGAGAGAGAGAGACAGCGTGAGCAGGGGAGGGTCAGAGAGAGTGGGAGACACAGAATCTGAAGCAGGCTCCAGGCTCTGAGCTAGCTGTCAGCACAGAGCCCGATGCAGGGCTCAAACCCACGAACCGTGAGATCATGACCTGAGCCGAAGTCGGACGCTTAACCGACTGAGCCACCCAGGCGCCCCATCCTGGGTTTTTAGAAAGAGTATCCTTAACATTTCTTACTTTCTTAAAGGGAATCTTAAAATGTTATTCATATACACAATGATATCTATTAAATAAAGCTTTCTGGTATTATTTACATTTTTGGAATCTTTTCTCCCTTACCTTAGTGTCACATTCTAAAAAAGATAGATAGTAGTTCAGTCATGGATGGTAATTTTATTAAGAGCCTGTAACTCCACAAGTTTTAGCTTTAAGTTGTTTGGTCCATAAAGAAACATGATTAAATTGCTATGTCCTATTTATTACTTTCAGCCTACAATTCAGCTTAATCTAATGGTAAAAACATGTTTTTGTTTATATTTGCCTTTTTATGTAATATTTTATCCTTACTAAACCAAATATAAAGTGTCAAAGTTATAAAGCATAATATAGTGGACACCTAGACTTACAGGGGAAACACAAGTACCTTATATTCTATCACGTTTACCAACATGTGAGTTGATGAAATGGGCAAAATTCACTGGGTTAACAAGAAACTTAACTGAAAAAGCTTAAGGGGACTAAGATAATAAGATTAGCCAGTAGCAAAACCAGGTATACTGAGGGACAGAATCCACCTTCTGAAGTCCTCCATTGCTCCTTTAACTTTATTTCATTTCCTCTTTGGCTTACAATCGCTATGTGTGTTGTCAATATCTTGCCTGAAAGAATTATTTACCAAGCTTTTTTTAGTGAATGGTGTATCTGGAGACTATTAAAATAGAGTCTTGATTTATTGAATGGCAACTCTTACCCACGGACATGTATCCACAGTATGAAGACCACATTAAAATTAATGTGTCATGTAAAGGGTAATGATTCTTGAGGACTATTTACCACAACAGGTATAAAAAGAAGATGATATACAGACAACCAACCATGCTAAGAGACTCACATCTCAGATGCTAAGAGATTGGCATTTTAAAGGTAAAGGTATTAAATCATCACTGCCCTACTGTATACAATTTAAAGGTAAAGGCAAAGACTCAGAAAATCAGGCAAGAGGAGAAAAAAATCCACAATTACTGAGAATTAGGTGTATTTATGCATGAAATCCAATGTTTGATATCCTGCTTAGAATTCAGTGCCTCAACTTAGCTATAGTTGACCCCTGAACAACACACATTCTCTAATATGTAGATTTTTCTTGATAAGTACAGGACTGCAAATGTTTTTCCTCATGACTTTCTTAACATTTAACATTTTTTCTCTAGGTTTCCATATGGTAAGAATACATATAAGTTAACCAACTGTTCATGTTATCAGTAAGACTTCCAGTCAACAGTAGGCTAAATTTTGGGGGAGTCACAATATTATACATTAACCCCTGCATTGCTTAAGGGTCAACTATATTTGCTCTTCCTGACTCATCTGAGGAGCCTTAAAGAAGGGAGATTATAACTGGGATTATTTATACTGCTTGCTTTTAAAGATACTGATCTCTAACAGTCTGTTGCCACATCACCACTCTAGTATCCAAATACTAAACACAAATATAGTGAAAAATGAATACTAGTGTTTGCAGGAAGCATCTGGGGATAACAGGTTCTCATTTTCCTGCTTTTGGAAACTGATGATATTCATGTTCACTTACTCATGTTCAAATTTAGAAACTACTACATACTCTCATTCAAAATGCAAAGGGAGTAATGGCACCCAAAATAACAAAGCAAATATTTCATCTTCAAAAGCAAAAGCCTTAGTAACAATATCACAGATAACACAAATTTGACACCTTTTGAAAAGGGCTTTCAAAAAAATCTAGTATAGCATTTCCCAAAATATGTGCCCATTCCAATAAGCATCCAAGATGCTCCACAGAATGGATTTGAGAACTGTCACAGGTAATATTCCCTCTCTAAAAGATTTCCATGGCACTGAGTAGGTCTACCATAAAGATTCACTGTTTAACTATGCATTTCCTTCAGAGGAGAAAACAGAACTACAGAGGAAGTGATCACTGCGGTTTTATGGAGTACAGAGCTGCCGGGGGAGATACTAGTAGACAGGGCTGAAAATTAATTTTGAGGAAGAGTGTGAATCCATTTAATAAGTTATTAAAAGACAACATATAAATTTAATTCTTCAGTTGTCAGAAGAATTATGTCGAGTACTACATAATGGAATGAACTGTTAGCAATTCTGTAAACATGTGTTTTACTTTTTTTTTTTTTTTTAAATGTTTTTTATTTATTTCTAGGAGAGAGAGAGAGCGTGAGCAGGGGAGGGTCAGAGAGAGAGGGAGCCACAGACTGAAACAGGCTTCAGGCTCCGAGCTGGCAGCCAGCACAGAGCCCGACGCGGGGCTCGAACCCACGAACCGCGAGATCATGACCTAAGCGAAAGTCGGACGCTTAACCGACTAAGCCACCCAGGCACCCCTGTAAACATGTGTTTTAAAAACGTGAGGTAAGAAAAACCTGAGAAAATTTCTGGGCATACATGGGAGGAATCAGAAGCACAGGAGACATACTTGTCAGAGGTCAGAGATGCCAGGTTGTCTACCTGGCCTCCCGCTAAGATGACATTCATATCACTGAAAGTGCTGACTACTCGCTGCAGATAATTACTGGCTCCCACCTTACAGCAATTATAGCCAAATACCAGGACCACACGAAGCTCAGGGTTATCTAAAAGACCTGCAGAGAAAGGAAGAGCAACAATTAAAGACAGCCTTCAAACTGGAATTTTAAACTTTATCACAATCTTATTTTCTTTATTTTTGCAAAATAAAATGTTTCTGCTAATGACCTGCACTTACAGTTTCCTTTTTTTTTTTTTTTTTTACAAACTTTAACACTTCAAAATCTTTGCTGTAATTTTCCCCATTAAAAAAATGAAATGGCTATTTGAAAATAATACAATCCATACTCAACACAAAGAACCAGCTATGTAACTAAGCAGCATCCATGGCAGACCTTAGTGTAGGCCATCTTCACACAGGCCACCCCCTGGAATGAAAGGATGTGAGTGTACCCAGAGTTAGCAGTAGTAATAATTTAAAGATCCAGAGAAAATGGAGAGAAAAGGCACCAAACACCTGTCATGTATTTAATGGTGGTGTCCCCCAAAATGTATCCCCATCAAATCTCTGGAACTGATGAATGTAAACCCATTTGGGAAAAGGGTCTTTGCAGATGTAATTAAGGATACAGCAATGAGAGCATCTGTTATTATAGGCTCTATAGACTACAGCAAGTGTCCTTAAAAGACCTATATAAGAGACACAGACATAAGAAGAAGCACTGTGACCACAGAAGCAGAAACTGGAGTGATGCAACCATGAGGAATACCAGTGGCTACCAGAAGGTGGAAGGGTCAAATGAAGAGATTCACCCCTGTAGCCTTAGAGGGAGTGCAGCCCTTTAGACACCTTGACTTCAGATTTTTAGCCTCTTGGACTGTGACAGAAAAATTTCTGTTGCTTTAAGCCACTAAGTTTGTGGTAACTTATTACAGCAGCCTCAGGAAACCAATACACCATGAAAATACATATAGGCCCTATCCACTTGTTACAGGAAAGGGGGGTGGGAGGGAAGATGCTTTGAATATTGGAAACTCTTTCCAAAGCAAGAAAATGTTCCATTCTACAGTGTTAAAACAAAAAGGAGCTTTCATTAGGGGGTAGTATAGCCCAAAGGGCGATAGGCTGTACTCCAGCACTCCCCAACAAACTCCCTGGCTTTCACCTGAGCCTCTGGGCACTTTAAGACTATCACTTTGAAAATTTCTGGCATTATCAAACAGGTAATAGGACAGGAAAAAAAAAATCTATACCTAACCCACATTCTCATCCCTGTTTCCACTGACCCAGCCACGTGACTTCCATCTTGACAGACCTAAGGTGAAGATTATCAGAAATAAGACTCACTTAAGGAAACAGATGTGGGGGGAATGATTATTTACTAACACCAAACACTGACTTATCCAGGGAAATTTCCTCCAGTCCACTTCTATTTTTTAAAAATGTTTTTCTTTATTTTTGAGACAGAGAGAAAGCATGAGCTGGGAAGGAGGAGAGTAAATGGGAACTGAAGCGGGCTTCTGTGCTGACAGCAGAGATGGTATGAATCTTGTATATTACCCTCAGCCTGGGTTTCACTGTGTACTTCCTACACATGTCCCTCAATTCAGAACTCCTCTGCTGATACTGTATGTGTCTTTGTAAGCTGCCTTAAATTCATTTCAAATAAGGCAAAATATAAATTTATTACAACTAAGACCAACTAGAAGGCTAAAAGGAAATTTAAAAAATAAGATAAAATCTAGACACCAAGACCTATATCAGATTCAGGAACATCAAAACAGGAAGAACTATTCCAAAGTTAGGCCAGGACTCCTTGGAAATACTCTAGGTCTGCATGTTTAGATTTCTATTCTTTTTAGAGAAGCCACTCTCAAGACAACTATTATATGATTTGTTTGAAAGTGATGGAATCTGAATGCTTGTAGAAAACCTACTTCAAAGGAAAAGTCTACTTATTATTCAGGTGCCCACCACAGGCTCAATAGAGCATAGCTAACAAAACACAATCTGGCTAATTTAGTGAAGGCTCTGACCATAAGTTAGATCTGTTTAGCTAAATATTGAAATGATGAAGCTAAGGCAATGTTTCCCCTTGAATTAAATGCATCTAAAGTAAACATCAAATTTATAGGCAGGGGAAAAGAAGCCTTGCATCCTTATCCTCAAAACTGACTGGGGGTCACCTGTGTTGCTCTGGCTTTTGTGTAGTCATGCCTTTGAGATGTACCTTATCTACAAATATCTCTGGTGTTATACAGTAAGAAGCTGTTCCTGTCCATGGACATGGAGCCTGTGGCACACGGGTTCGGGGTGGGAGGCACTGCAGGCTGGGGGCTGTATTATGCGCCACTGTGAACTGAGAGTCAGCCCCCACTGGCCTCTTACAGTTTGTGTTTTCTAGCCCCTCTTGCTCCCAGAGCTGAATGACACCTACCGCAAGGGCAGGAAACCCTAACAGAACATGGGCACCACCTTCCTGTCACTTAGACTTTCTCAAGGGCTGTGCAACTTCTAAATCAGAGCAAATTCCATCACACAGGTTTTAGCTTTACCATCTTTCTCTGCTTTGCACCTGATCACTGTTGGCGGACTCCTCAAGATTCTCTGAAATCTCTAGATAATTTAAAAACTTTGTCCCTCAATTTTTTTTTGGCAATCTGACTTAACAAATAATGTTCACTCCCACTCAGTTGCTGGCAGAGTTCAAGAGTAGTCATCAATGGACCAAAAGCGGTAAGCAGAAAGGACCTGAACAACCCACAAAGTAGATCATAACATCATCAATGTAATAGGAAACACAGAACTTCTGCAAGGCACTTTTTTTTTTTATGTTTTTATTTTATTTTGAGAGACAGAGGCAGAGAGAGAGCAGGGGAGGGGCAGAGAGAGAGAAGACACAGAATCTGAAGCAGGATCCAGGCTCTGAGCTGTCAGCACAGAGCCCAATGTGGGGCTCGAACCCACAGACTGTGAGATCATGACCTGAGCCGAAGTCGGACGCTTAACCAACTGAGCCACCCAGGTGCCTCTGCCAGGCACTGTTCTAAGCGCTTCAACAGAAATTCACTTATTTAAATGCCCACCAGAACCTATTATGTACTGTTTAGTTCCTAGAAACTCTATGAGGATTCAACATCTTCCAAATTCACATGAAAACATGCAAATTGTATCCACTATTATAGGACGTGACTCAGGGTAGACATAATAATAAATACACACTCCCAGAGTGGCTGCCCAGAAGGAACTGGTGCTATGGGGTTACAGAACTGACACTTCCACTCCTCTCCTTCCAAGAACAAATGCAGGAGGACCTTTCAGGACTTCTTGTGACCTCAAATGGAAAAACTAGTGGAAAATCTTTTCTAATGTCACTGTCTACAAATAAAACTGTAGCCCAGAAAATCCTGGGCCCCAGGGGAATGTCAGAATGATGGGTTTGTAAAAGAGAAAGAGAATCACAGGTGTGAGACAAGTCTAGCTACCCACCTCAAGCGTTCTCCAAGGAGGAAAAAGCCCTGGCTCTTAAGCTCAAACTCATCTAAGAGCAACTGGCAGTCCTGAGGCTGCCTTCTCCAGCTCTATCTGTAGAAGGGCAGGGGTCACAGGCTGCCAGGTACTGCTTTCATGCTAGAGCCACTTTACTGAACAACTTGAAGCCTACAGGGAAGAAATACAGACCATCTTAAAGTGGGATGCTCCTCCCTCCATTACAATATGCTCCTCTGGGCAAGTGGTTCAGAGGTGCCTAGAGGGAGACAGGGGAGAAGTGAAGAAGCCTCAGTTCTAGACCTTCCAATACTCCCTTCAACCCAAACAGCTCTGCTCTCTGCTTTATTTTTATGTTGGTACCCCACCCCAGGTAAGATTTTACTTAGCAAGGAACTCTTTCAAAGAAAAGTTAGGAAATTGCTAAAGAACCTCCTCATTGAGGAGTCTCAATAAAGTCTTCAACATAAGCACAAGGGGGGAGTCATGGTATTGCTAGCTAGGCTTCAACAGGGAGTTACTTAGAGAGCGGAGAGCTATCAGCAGGAGGAAAGAGGAGAAAGGACAAAAGCAAGGAAGGAATGTGTCTGTTCAACAGAACAAGCAGTTCCCACCAAGGAGACACCACCAGGTGTTCACCTTATGTGAGCCAGTTCGAGCCAGATCAGAGCTGACTTCTTGCACAAAAGTCACTGAGCTGTCCTGAAGTTAGCTTTAGCTCTTTATAACACTAAGATCTCCTCCCATGGGCAGAGTTTTCTGCTATTTTTTGAACATAAGATATACGCACTGCATGTTGACATGCTAGCCATGTGCAATTGAACCAAACGCCTAAAAGTAACAGAGTATGTGTAAGCTCCTCAATATGTATGTGCAAGCTCCCTGTCCCTGCCCACTAATTCTGAATAAAAGCTTCCTGTACTAACTCCTTGGGGAGCCAGAGCTTTGAGAGCTACTTGTAACAAGTAATAAAAAGTTCCTTGTTTTCAACACTTTTTTGGCTTGTGTTCAGTTTAGTGCACCCCAACCAGTGAACTTCCCGAGTTTGGTTATGGTATTCCAACAGTCTCAATCAACCCTGGACAAGCAGGGTTGTCCTGCTGAGCTTCCTTCCTCTCTCCTCTTCCTCCTCTCATTACTGAGCTGGTTTCTATCTGGTTTAATTCCCATTAATTACCTAGTGATTCCCAAATTTCTATCTTTAGTCCTGACCATTCTCCTGAGTTCTAGAACTATACATTCAACTGTCTAATCAGTGACCCCAACTCAGATTCAACATGTTCAATCCAAAACTGCTAATCTGATTCCTCCAACTTGTGCCCCTGGTCTATTCCTTCCCTCAGGAGATGGTAATGTGCAGCAGTGCTGGCCAAAAACCTGGGTGACATCACAGCCACCTCCCTTATTCACAATACCCAACATTTTAATCAGTCACTACATCCTGTTGATTCCACCTCAAAACTTTGTCTTGATCCAGCCATCTCTTCAGCTCCACTTTCCATCCTCTCCTGCCTTAATCACCACAACAACCTCCTGTTTGTCCTGTACCTGCTCTCATATTCCTCCAAACTGATCACCACACACCACAGCTAGAGGGTTATTTTCAAAAGACTTCTCTGATTATGTCACTCTTTTGTTTAAAATCCTGGCTTCCCACTGCCATTAAATATGTAAAATCCTTACTATGTTTTATGGGCACGATGTGGCCTCCACTTGCCTCTATGGCTTCGCCTCACATCACACACCTCTTGTTGCTGTCACCACTCTTCCAGACACACTAGAATTTTTTATATTTCACAAATGAGCATGGGAATCCACAACATTTCCATCGTGAAGGTGTATGATCAGGCCCCTTCCATTTTCTGTCCTTGACTGCGGGCTACCTTGCTCTATTTGTCGGTAACCTAGAAAGAAGGTAAAGACCACCTAAGAAACTCCTCCCTACTCCACATGTGAGGGACCCATTCCCACTCTAGTCCACTTTTTAGGGCTCCATACAAACATCACTTTCCCAACACCCCTCATTAGATTAAGTCTCGTGGTTATATGTTTTCTAGCACCTCTGCTTCTACTGGGTAACACGTTTCACATCTTTGGTAGGCCATCATCTTGTCAGCATCAAGCTATACCTTTTTCCTTCCTTCTTTGCGCTAAATTTGTTGCTGACTCTTTTCTAAAACCTGTCCTGGACATTCTTGCAGAAAGCCTGTCACACTACGTGCAAATGGCTCTCAAACCAATTATCTCTGACCTCAACTCCTTCTTGAGCTTCAGACCCACGATCTAACCACCAGTCTAAGAGAAATCGGGTTTGCTGAGCACTGTTAACTCCTGCCAACCTTCCAACAAACTTCCTCATTATACCATGAGAAAGTTTCTAGCTTAGCTACACAGTCACATTTGCTCCTAAAATTCTTTCTCCCTTTGTACTTAACATTAGGTCAGTTTAAAAGGCACAGTCTGGGGCGCCTGGGTGGCTCAGTCAGTTGAGTGTCCGACTTCGGCTCAGGTCATGATCTCATGGTTCGTGGGTTCGAGCCCCGCATTGGGCTCTGTGCTGACAGGTAGCTTAGAACCTGGAGTCTGTTTCAGATTCTGTATCTCCCTCTCTCTCTGACTCTCCCCTACTCACACTGTCTCTCTCTCTCTCAGAAATAAATAAAACATTAAAAATTTTTTTTTAATAAAATAAAATAAAATAAAATAAAATAAAATAAAATAAAATAAAAGGCACAATGTGGAGTTTTCCTTAGAGAACGTTTGGAATCCTTGATTTTGGGTAGCTTTAACAATACAGAGGGCTCTGGTCTTCTGTTTATGTACTATGTAGTGTAAGAGCTTTTGCTCTCTACTATTGCAAGTTTAGTTTCCTCACCAACAACATACTGTGACAAATTCTACCCGGTAAAGCCGTTGTGAGAATTAGAAACAGCATGTAGCACAGTACCTGGCTTATAATGCCTCAGTATTAGTTGTCATTAATTGTCACCATCAGCCAAGCCATGGGCATGTTCCTCTGGCATAACACTTCTGAATGGGATGATATGAATACCTAAGACCTTCACTGTCCTTTTCCTGAACATCCCTCCTCCTAGTCAATTCCTCCACATAACACAAACCACACTGCAGATGGATCACTGTGACCCACTGCAAAGCCTGCCTAAGGTACAGGGGCCAACGTTAACCCACCATCTACAGAGCAAGGTATTTGGCTAAGTGCTTTATAGAAGTCATTTTATCTAATGCTTATACTTCTGTAAGTCAGCTATCTCCACTTTACAGATAGGAATCAGAGGCTTATAAAAAGTGAAGAAACTTGTCCTAAATTAGGAAAGCTGGAATGTAACAGAACTAGGGCAGTTATAAGCCTGCATTCTCACTAGCTATAGTTTCCTGCCTTACCCTGCAGGCTGGCTGTTGAAACTTCCCATGCACTACCTGTATCTGACAACTCTTCCACATTATCAAGAGGCCTGCTACTGCTGGCTGCTGGTCTCTGCAGTCAAAGCCTCCTCCTTCTGTGCTTCTCATCCCATCCCCACCAACCACTCTGAGTCTTTCTTTACACTGTAAAGGACAGTTGCCCAAGCCAGTCTCAATGTGTAGACTCCTTTTTTTTTCATTAGTAAACCAATCACAAGTGTTCCCTTTGTTGCTACATATTTTTTTATTCCCACTGGATTCAGTGCCATTTCAAATAATGGAGGCTTGTCTCTATAGGGTGGCTGACTGATGCACAAACAGGTAATTTTTCGTGCCAACAGAGATTTTTAAAAATAAGTTAATGTCAATCAGTTCACCTGTAGATGCAGACAAAAAGCCTTAACACTGCTCTGCTTGAGTAACTACTCTGCTGCTTATTATATTAAATTAAGCTTTCTCATCAGATCCTGGAAATTAAGCCAACTCTTTAGCTCTTCAAAATCACCTCTCATGACCTTGCCTACTCCAGCCAAACTTCCTCTAGTCTTACGTGTCCTAGGAAATCCTTGTTTGACAGACTCTGCCTTAACTTAACAGCTTTTCTAAAACTTATCAAGTTCACTACACTTATTCCCATCTTTCTAATTAGTTGACATAGAACCTATATTTTATTAAAAAAATTTTGGGGCGCCTGGGTGGCTCAGTCAGTTAAGCGTCTGACTTCGGCTCAGGTCATGATCTCATAGTTTGTGGGTTCGAGCCCCACGTCGGACTCTGTGCTGACAGCTAGCTCAGAGCGAGCCTGCTTCAGATTCTGTATCTCCTTCTCTCTCTGACCCTCCACTGCTCACGCTGTCTCGCTGTCTCTCTCTCTTTCTCTCTCTCTCAGAAATAAAGCATTTAACAAAAAAAATTTTCTTCATAATAAATGCCTTTTATTAGTGTAAAACAATGCTTTAAAAAGGTTTTCAGAAAACTAAAATAGCAAAATGATAAAGTATTCAAAGAGAAAGAAGTGCTTCAAAATTCAGAATTAAATACAAATATATTTATTAGTAACATGTATACTTAATTCAGACTCTCTCAAAGGAACAAACACAATCAATCAATTGGGCAATTGGACAATTAATGGTAAAGAACAGTGACTTACCTACTTCAGTGAGTCGATGTCTTTCTAGGGTTAAATTCTTTGGGTCCTTAGTAAAATGAAAGGGTTGTATTTTTATTCCTTCAATTTGAGGGAATAACAGAGCAAAACCAGACTCTCCAATTTCTATTTCCTGAGGTCGATTGTTACCTGATCCCATCGGAGTCACTAGGAAAAAAAGAGTTTCATGAATAGTTTTTTTTAAATGTTTGTTTTTTATTTTGGAGAGACAGAGAGATAGCATGAGCCAGGGAAGGACAGGAAGAGAGGGGGACAGAGGATCCAAAGCAAGCTCTGTCCTGACAGCAGAGTCTGATGTGGGGCTTGAACCCAGGAACTGTGAGATCATGACCTGAGCCAAAGTCAGATGCCTAACCAACTGAACCACCCAGACACCCCTCATGAACAGATTTAATAAAAATTGAAGTTTCACTTGGTAACACTTCATTTGGTATGTATCTAGCGCCACCTAGATAACTATAGTTTGGGTCACTAAGGTAATCAACCAGTTAATAAGCCACTATCTGAGTAAATATTTCTCAGCTTTGAAATTTTTAGGGGTGGTGTCATGAAAATTTCATGATGTCTGCAATCTACTTTCCAATGGTTTAGAAAGAAATGTTTTTTTATAAACCAAGAAAAAAAACTGCTACCAAACTTATTAATTTTTTAAAGTTTATTTATTTTGAAGAGAGAGAGAAGGCAAGCATACACAGGGGAGAGGCAGAAAGAGAGAATCTCAAGCAGGCTCTATAACTGTCAGCTTAGAGCCCGACGTGGGACTTGATCTCACGAACCATGAGATAATGACCTGAGCTGAAATCAAGTGTCAGATGCTTAACTGACTGATCTACCCAGGTGCCTTGCAAAAATTTTTAAATTAGTGAATCTAGACAAAAGGAATATGAATGTTTACTATTCTATCATTCTACAACTTTGAAGATTTGATGTTTTTCTAAGTAAGAAGTTGGAGGGTAGTAAATAATCTTTGCAGCAATTCCACTTTTAAAAAATTTTCCTAAAGATATTTGACAATTATATAAAATATGTATATAATGTATATATACATATACATACACATACACCAATATATATGCACACACACAAAAAATACTTTTATCACAGAATTTTTAACAGAATGTAAAAGGAAAAATCTAAATGCCCTACACTGGTATTTATATTAAAAGTTATACTTAAACAATCAACCACAGCCATTAAGAATGACAGACATATTTACTAACATGGAAATATGTAATATGCTGTGAATTTTAAACGTAGGTGTTATGGACAGAATTGTGTCCCCCTCAAAATTTGTATGTTGAAGCCCTAACTACCACTACGAATATATTTGGAGATAAGGCCTTTAAAGAGGTAATTAAGGTTAAATGAGGTCATCAGAGTTGGACCCTAATCCAGTAAGTCTGGCATCCTTGTAAGAAGAGAAAAAGACATTAGGGATGCATGCATAAAGAGAAATGGCCATGTGAGGACTTAGCAAGGAGGCAAGGCAGTGGTCTGAAAACTAGGGAGAAGCCTCCGGAGAAAGGAAACCTGCCAACACTTTAATTTTGGATTTCCAGCCTCCAACACTGTGAGAACATACATACATTTCTGTTGTTTAAGCCACCAGTGTGTTATTTGGTTATGGCAGCCATAGGAGACTAAAACAAGTACAGTAGGTTACAAGTCTATAGAAAATTATATTCTTGATATATGTACATACACATGTATTTATTTCTACATATGATGCTATTTTTTGAACATCCAAAAGGTTATGCATTATAACATTAATACAGTAGTTAACTATGATGCTTAAAGTTGCTTGATTTTTTTGCTCATCTTTATCTTCTATTTTTCTTTAACAATAAATGTTACCGATATAAAGAATAAAACTTTAAAAAAAATTTTTATTTAAAGAGAGAGACTATGTGAGTGGGGGAGGGGTAGAGAGATGGGGGGGGAGAGAGAGAGAGAGAGAGAGAGAGAGAGAGAGAATCCCAAGCAGGCTCCACACTCAGTGCAGAGCCCGACTCAGGGCTTGAACTCCTAAAACCATGAAATCATGACCTGAGCTGAATTCAAAAGTTGGACGCTTAACCAACTGAGCCACTCACGTGCCACTAGAGTAAAACTCTTTTTAAGAAGTGTTAAGCTTTTTAGATACTACACTTGATCTTAGCCAAAAGGCCGAGAAGTGATATTAAGCTTTTTAGAAATCAAAGCTATAGCAAAATGAAAAAATATCCAAAGATAAAATTTCAGAATCCTAACAAACCCCACACAATATAATCTCCACCCCCCACAATATATTCTTAATTAAAAACAAAAATTTTAGGTCATAAGGACCCTTTCTTCCACAAAAATAGATCAAAACAAAAGCAATCTTTAATTAATTAATTAATTTTTTAATGTTTATTTATTTCTGAGAGAGAGAGAGAGACAGTGTGAGCAGGGGAGGGTCGGAGATACAGAATCTGAAGGAGGCTCCAGGTTCTGAGCTAGCCTTCAGCAAACAGCCTGACGCAGGGCTCGAACTCACAAACCATGTGATCATGACCTGAGCCAAAGTTGGACACTTAACCGACTGAACCACCCAGGCGCCCCAAAACAAAAGCAGTTTTTAAAAGTGCGATCTCAAGACAATATAAACTAAATCTCAATATGCTTTTAATTGAATAAGACAGGTTGATTCTAAAAATATGTAGATATGCAAAAGACCTAAAGAGCCAAAACAGTTTTTAAAAAGAACATCAAAACCTATAGTAATATGGCAATGGCTTAAGGATAGACAAATATATCAATGAAGCAGAATTAAATACAGAAATAGATCCACAAACATGCAGTCAATTATTTTTAACAAAGGTGCCAAGGCAATTAGAGGAAAGAAAAATCTTCAACAAAGGGTGATGAAATAGTTGGATAAACATATGAAAAAAAATTAACCTTGAACCCCTAACTCACACCATACATTTAAGAGCTAAACCATACAGCTTATAGAAAAAAACATAGAGAATATTTTTGTGACTTTGAGATAGGCAAAGATTTCCTGGAAAGGACATAAATATTTACAACACCTATACCTAATTAAGGTCTTGTATTAGAATATATAAACAACTTCAAGTCAAAAATAAAAACAATCCAATAAAAAAATAGTAAAAGACTTGGATACATCACAAAAACTGGTATACAAATAGACAATAAACAGATGAAGAGATGCTCAACATAATTAAAATCATTGGAGTAATTCAAATTAGAACTAGCATAGGATCCACTATGATGGCTAAAATGAAAGACTCATTTGAAGACACTAAGTATTAGTGAGGATATGTAGCAATGAGCATCTAACATCCTCATTCACTGCTGGTGAGTATAAATGGAACAAGTCTTGAAAATAGTTTGGCAGTTTCTTGTTGAGTTAAACATACACCAACTCCAAGACCCAGCAATTCCACATCTTGGTAATTGCCCAAGAAGAATAACAAGACTTACACAAAAATGTTCACAACAGCCTCATTCACAATAGTCAGGAATGTGAAACAATCCAAATCTCCATTAAAAAGAGAATGGAAAAATAGTCTATTTATATAACAGAATACTACTAACAATTTTTTTTTTTTAATTTTTTAATGTTTTTATTTATTTCTAGGAGAGAGAGAGAGAGAGACAGCGTGAGCAGGGGAGGGTCAGAGAGAGAGGGAGTCACAGACTGAAACAGGCTCCAGGCTCTGAGCTGGCAGTCAGCACAGAGCCCGACGCGGGGCCCAAACCCACGAACCGCGAGATCACGACCTAAGCGAAAGTCGGACGCTTAACCGACTAAGCCACCCAGGCGCCCCACTACTAACAATTTTTAAATGAACACTAATACGCACCGTAACTTAAGTTAATCTCAAAAATATTATGGTGTTAAAAATATTTATGCTGAGTGAAAAAACCAAGACATAAGAAGGGTATATACCATATAGTTCCATTTATATAACACTCCCCCCCCCCCCACTTATATAACACTTAACAACAGGCAATCTAATTTATGGTCACAGAAATAAGAACCAAGGTTTCCTTTGCAGGCAGAGATGGACAGGAAAAGGGCATGACAGATCTTCCTGAGGTAACAGAAATATATTCTATATCTTGACTGGCGTATAGGTTACACAAGGGTATACATTAGTCAAAACTCATTAATTTAGTACACTTAAGATTGTGTAGGGAATGTAAGTGAAGTTTACCTTAAAAGAAAGAAAATGACAATCTCTCAAACTTGAAATTTTTCTTTTTATTATTTTTTAATGTTTTATTTATTTCTGAGAAAAAAAGACAGCATGAGCAGGGGAGGCTCAGAGAGAGTAGGAGACACAGAATCTGAAACAGGCTCCAGGCTCTGAGCTAGCTGTCAGCACAGAGCCCGACGCAGGGCTCAAACTCACAAACCTGATCATGACCTGAGCTGAAGTCGGACACTTAACCAACTGAGCCACCCAGGTACCCCTCAAACTTGAAATTTTTCTAACCTAAGAAGGAAGATGGGCTAGGGGTCAATGACTGCTTTAGAAATAATCACTAAACTGTGGCCTAAGAAAAAGGAATCCAACCGTCTTGGCGTTAGTTTTGTCGGAACATGCATGGAACTGGCTCAAAGAAAGCATCTAACTGCAGGGGTACCAAAAACACAAAGTGTGTCCATGCAAACACAAGACAGAATTGGAATGGCATCTAATCTTGACATCAAGATCATAAGGGAACTTGGGGAAACAAATCAGCAAAGTTAAAACTCCTTCAGAACAGGGCAAGCAGGGGTGCCTGGGTGGTTCAGTGGGTTAAGCATCTGACTTCCGCTCAGATCATGATCTCAGTTTGTAAGTTTGAGCCCCACGTCTGGCTCTGTGCTGACAGGGCTGAGCCTCTCTCTCTCCCTCTCTCTGCCCCTCCCCTGCATGGGGTTGCTCTCTCTCTCTCTCAAAATAAATAAATAAATATATATATTTTTAAAAAGGCAGAAAGGAAGGCTTAAGGTAGACTTCCCACTGTCATAATGGGGTCCTCTCAACAAGTCCACACTCCCTCTCCTGCCTCCACCCCCTAGCCAAAATTTTAAAAAGCAGAAATGTGACTGTACTTTGAAAAAAACCACAGTAGATGAGGTGGGGAGGCATAAGAAAATGACAAAGCTACCATTCTATATAAGCATTTGTTAATAACTAGCAATGGTAAACCTAGACCATTTTAGGAAAATTCAAAAGTTAAAATAAAACCATGCTTACTGCTATCATTTTTAATCCAATGAAGAACAAAATGCATGGTGACAGGCAGAAATAATAGTATAGGTGTGAGGAGCCAATAACAGTAGAGATGAAATAGCCTCTATCAACCGTGTATTTATCCTTATTCATTTGTACACACTTGAAATCCTTTGTACTTCACTGTGCTAAGATCAAAAGTCTCTCAGTGAAAATTAAATATGCCAATTATGGAGTAATACTGAGTGGAACAAAGAAAATAGTAAGAGTTAACATTTACTCATTGATTCCTGCACATCTCTATTCTGATTACTTTTCAAGTTAACTCATTTAATCCTCAACCCTCCAAAGAACTATTATCAATCATCCCCATTTCATATATGGGGAAACTGAAGCCTTGTAAGGTTAGGCAATTTACCCAAAGTCATACAGAGTGGTACAGCCAGGATTCCAATCCAGGTACCTGAACCACTGCACCATGACTGCCTCAACAGAATGTCTCTCCCCCATGAGCTAAAGAAAAGAATCAAGGGGCACCTGGGTGACTCAGCTGGTTAAGCATACAACTCTCAATTTCAGCTCAGGTCATGATCTCATGGTCTGTAAGACAAACTTGCACTGGGCTCCACAATGAGTATGGAGCTTGCTTAAGATACTCTGTCTCTGTCTCTCTCTCTCTCTTTCTGTGTGTGTGTGTGTGTGTGTGTGTGTGTGTGTGTGTGTGTCTGCCTCTGCCTCTCTCCCTTTGCATGTGCTCTCTCTCACAAAAAAAAAATTTTTTTTTAAAAGAATCAAGAATAGTAAATAACAAACAGCAAAAATTCACCAGCAGCAAATGTGAAAAAGGGTATAATTTAATGTTCAAACAGTGGTATCTAAGTAGAGAAACAGAAGCTTTCTAGCAAGGTCTACTATAGCTCCTAATCACAGCTCTAACTTACCCATGCCTACCAGAAACAATCCTGGTTAAACTGACAAGAGCATTTAATGCTTCCTGATTTGAAGAGAGGAAGTATGTGAGCTCTTTCCTCTTATGAAAGACTCCTGGAAAGATATGCATCACATCTGGTTTTTATAGACAGCCCTGAGACCAGGAATACTAACCACAGTAATCTAAAGAACATTAATGGAAGTTAAATATACCATGGCAAATATGACTAACTTTACGGCATTTTTGGATGGCCCAAAATATAAATGTGGTTTTAGGCTACAAAGAATTCAACAATTTACAGGACCCCCACATTAATGCAAAACAAGAAATCATCAAAATGGTATTTTCTCTCACCTACAATTCCTGGGGTCACAATCCCAAGGACTTGGCATTGTTTTGGGAATAGCTTCTCAAGGGCAAATGCTGCTTCCATAGTAGTTCTTTTCCTTGCTATAATAATACAGTAGTGAAATTATTACATCATTTTAGGTCAAATATGATGGTGTGGGGGGAAAAAAGCAAACAATGAATAAAGTTTAAATCACTTATACCAGAATGCTTTATAAAGAAGTCTAAAAACTTTGATGAAAACATTTTCCCATTTGCGCCCTGCTCTATGTGTTAAATTCTAAATCTGACTTTTAACATCACCAATTTGCCTTTCTTGTTTTGCTCATATACTGGTTTTTCCCCAATGATGTTAAATTTAGCAGCAGCAGCTAAATTTTAACTTGTTGTTGTACCTCTCTGTTTAGCCGATATTAGAGCATGACTGTTTCACTGCATACACAGTCAGCTGGATTCAAATTAGACCGTGATAACCCAGGTCTAGCTCTGAGCCTCAGCGTGCCCAGCCTGGGAAACGTAGTCTACTTCTACTCTTACTGAGTGAAGAGGCATGCATGGTATCTATAGATAACCTTGGTCTCCCTGAATGGGTCCCCATCACACAATATAAGGCTTCAATTGCCAAAGATAAACATCCTGTTTTAATAATAGAACGTGCCTGGATGGCTAAAGTATTTCAAAATGAGAAAAACATCTTTCTAAAGAATTTGTTTTAGTTTAGAATTTCTGCAAGGTTCAGAAATCAGCCTTTGAAGCAAAAATGGCCTCTCAAGTTTCAAAGACAATATATTCATGAAGGCCCAGAGCCTCAGTAACTCTCAAGACTAGGACAATATTTAACTCTTGAGGTACATAAGGAAACAAAAAACTCAAACCTCTTCTTTTGATATTTACCTCTCTTGTGGCCACGACACTCTTCCAGACTAATGAAAGTTTCTGAATCAGCCATGTAAAGAACGGTCTGTGGTAAGATGTGAACATTCTGGTAAGAAAAAACAAAAATGGAACTGAATGACACAAATCTAGAACTGCTCTCGTGGTCCCTTAAAGTTTTGCCCTGGTCCAAACTGCCATGAACATACTCTCCCTTCGGGTCAATGTCTCACCTGAGTCCAACCACAGCCCATTCATTTTTTATTTCTGCTCCTTCTTTTTCAGCTCATTCATTTGAGCATCTCTTATTTTAAGTCAACCTCATTCAGCCTGACTCAAAATGTTCATTTTCATAATTCAAATACTTTTTGTTAATTTTTTATTTTAGAGAGAGAGAGAGAGTGGGTGAGAAAGGCAGAGGAAATGAGAGAGAGAATCCCAAGTGGGCTCAACGCTCAGCCTGGAGCATGCCATAGGCCTAGATCCCACAACTCTGGGATCATGACCTGAGCCAGAATCAAAAGTTGGATGCCCAACTGACTAAGCCACCCAGGCATCTCCATAATTTAAAATTTTACTTCATTTTATTTATTTAAAAAAATTTTAACATTTTATTTATTTCTGAGAGAGAGAAAGCGTGAGCAGGGGAGGGTCAGAGAGAGAGGGAGTACAGAATCTGAAGCAGGCTCCAGGCTCTGAGCTAGCTGTCAGCACAGAGCCCAATGCGGGGCCCGAACCCACAAGCCGTGAGATCATGACCAAGGCCAAATTCGGATGCTTAACCGACTGAGCCACCTAGGTGCCCCCTTAAAATTTTAAATAAAAACATTAAATGCCAGCAAAAGGTGCCACTTGCTTTGTCTGAATAGGCACCCCAGTAACAGAAACATCTGAGCAACAAGGGAAAGTATACAAACTGTATTTCTTCTCTTTTCACTGCCTACCAAATGCAAGTATCCCAGGTCTTCATTTCCACCTTACCAACTAGTTCGCTGAAGGGAAACTTTTGCTTACTATAATCCAGACTACATACACTGCTGTGCACATTCTCCTGCAGCTCTCTTCAATTCCCACTTGATTTAGGACTATGTCCCCCTAGAGACCACTTAAAGTGCCACCTCCCCTACAATACCTTTTCTTAGACTCCTTCAGTACCCTGGACCTCATATGTGACATACCTTATATCTCAGTCATTCTTACTTGTGCCTTATCTCCACTTATGAGCTAGGCTTATTCAGAATCCTGTTTTCCACTAAATCTCACATTACGGCCAAGTAGCAAAGTGGCTGAATCAAACAAAAGGATGAACATACTTTTTTCCCTAAACTGGTTATTTTCAAATATTTTTACTATCAGAATGGAATGAAGTACTTAACATATAGATAGCAACCCTCAATAATGTTGATTAAATAATAAAAAAATGTTAATCCATTGTAATTTGGGTGAATGTTAAGATGTTTCAGAGTAGATTCCATATAGACAAAAGGTAACTCAAAAAAGGTAACTGAGACAGAATGATGGCCCTGTGGTGGCCCCAGGGCTGATAAGACCTAAGAGTATAGTTCTCTTGGTCCACACAGCATTTTCTAAGAATGTAATTTGGTTACCAACATTGAAAATTACACAAAATATTTACATAAAATGTGGATTTCCAGATTCTTTTGAAAAACTAGACAACACTTAGACTGCATTCTTCTTGACTAGGGCTAAACCCAGGCAAGCACCTCCTGGTTTGCCATGGCCTTATTGCTCCCTCTGCTGTCACAGTAAACCAACTTAGTCACCTGCCTAACTTTGGGGTCATTTGAGTTTGTGATATCTAGTATAGGAAGTAAGGAGATTGGAAGTCTGGTCCTGAGTTTTCAGGATTCTCTCAGTCCTGGGATCCAATGAAAAGCAATTGCTGAATCTTCCTTTCTAATTCTCACTAGAAGCAGTGACAAGGACAGTCCTCAACATGAAAAGTTCTCAAAGCACAATGTGAGACAACTGCAACCTCACTCCTTTATACAAAGAAGTTCCAAATAGAAAGATACGTTATAAACCTTTTTGTAGACTTAAAAATATTTCTGATAAAAAAGTTAAAACTTACTTTATGGCTATAAAAGTGTCATGTTCACTAGGTAATCTAGTGGCAAACACAAAGAAAACAGCATGATTTGGACAAGGTTTCCATGTTTTAGTTTAACCGCAGTAGCGATTACTACAATAAATAAACTTCTGTAAGGGCATTAATACATGGATTTTTAAAATGCCATTGATAATAGAAAATAATAATTTCATTCATTGAAAAATTATTATCCCTGGTACTGAAGGTAATGTGTTATATGCATTACCTTTAGATTATTTAACCCTTAGAGTAAGTCTTTAAGAGTATGAGGAAAATTTTTATTGTCTTTCCATTCTATAGAGAGAGAACCTGAAGCTCAAAGAGATTAGGTAACTTTTCCTTTTCCATTTTTTAAAATGTTTGTTTATTTGTTTTTAAAATTTAAAAAATTTTTTTAAATTTATTTTTGAGACACAGAAAGACAGAGTATGAGAGGGAGAAGGGCAGAGAGACAGGGAGATACGGAATCTGAAGCAGGCTGAGCTGTCAGCACAGAGCCCGTGCGGGACTCGAACCCACAAACGTGAGATCATGACCTGAGCCGAAGTCGGAGGCTTAACTGACTGAGCCACCCAGGTGCCCCATGTTTATTTATTTTTGATAGAGAGAACATACACAAGAGCATGGGAGGGCCAGAAAGAGAGGGAGACAGAGGATCTGAAGTGGGCTCTGCACTGACAGTAGACAACCAAGAGCCAGATTGATGGGGTACTCGAAACCATGAACCGTGAGATCATGACCTGAGCTGAAGTTGGACACTTAACCTATTGAGCCCTTCAGGTGCTCCAGATTAGATAACTTTTTCAGACTGACAGCTTGTATGTACCAAAGCTAGGTTCAGACCTAAATATGTCCAGCTACTAACAGCCATTATATTGTATAAACTTTTAAAGCTATATGAAAATAAAACCTGCTGTGGTAAAACTCTGAAGGAAAAATAATAACATTTTAAAGCATTAAAAAAAATTACACAATTCTACCCTGGCAGGAAACTTTTGCTAACATTTTGGCTTATTTCTTTTCTATTTTTCCTTGTTTGTTTTTAAATAATTCATATTACACTAAACATAATTTCATAATCTGCCTTCTTCACTTATAACATGAACTTGTCATGTTCACTAGGTACCCTTGTCATTAGTGCATCTTGCAGTTCATCATTTAGTGACTATTTCTAAACATTAGATTGTTTTCAATTTCCCTTATAATAAATGATGCTGCAAAGAACATCTTTATGGAAGTCTGCCTGCATTTTGAACTTCTCCAAATGACAACTTCTAGAAATAGACCAGGCAGGGTTTGAGCCAATATGCAAAGAAGAAAGTTTCCTATAGGCCTGCCTTTGGATACTGGCCACTTTGGAACTGAGTCCAAAAGCCCAAACAGAGTAAAGAGAAAATCCACATGAGAAAAGGGGAAACAGAAGATTGGTCATTTATGGGGCATTTGTCTAATATCTAAACATATTAAGAATGATGAAAGCCAGGTTTCTCATTGGTCAAAAGGGAGGTACAAATATGACCTGAGAGAAAAGAAAACTGTAAACAATTCTGTGTTGGAATGGAATTGGATGTACTCGTGCGAACTCATGAATTTCCATATATAACAGATGTAATTATATACACATATATACACAAACACATATGCATATACATATATTCCTGGGCTCTCTTCCACTGGGCTCTAGAGCAGCAAACCCTTCAACAGCAATGCATCTCAACTACCATTCTCCACTAAAAGGCACCAGAACTCTTTAAAGAAATGGCTGACTCCAGGACTAAAGCAGACAAAACACAAGATGAGCTTAGAAAATGTGTCAGAAAGCAAGGAAGTACTCAAAGGTGACAGATGCATATCTAAAGATCCTGAAGCCAGATGAAGGGGTTCCTGCTAGACAAAATGGGGACAATTTGAACACCAAAATAAATTCTTTTCGAGGTTATATTCCATTGAATAAGAGACTTAAGAGTCCATACAGATATAAATAAATGAATAAATTGAGACAGGAATACTTACATAGTTTCAAAGTATCTCCTCACGAAATACTTATTAATTACAGTGGAAAAGAGTAATTTTACAGTAGCCACATCTGGGAAACACCTCTCAAATTATCAAAGGTAATAACACCAGTAACGGAACAAAAATGGAAATCAGATGCTACCTAATAGGATGAAACTAAGAGCACAGGATCACTTTTGTGATATTCCTGCCAAAGATACATAATCTGAATCAAAGAAACATGTTCTACAAGATAAGTGGCCTGCAATTTACATACTTATCAAAGTTGTGAAAGTCAAGGAAAGCTTGAGAAACTGTTTCCACATCAGAAATTAAAGAAATGACAAAAAGAGCATAAGATTCTAAACAATTATTTTGCTACGAGGAGCAATACTGGGACAACTGGCAAAATCTGAAAGAAATGTTAGGAACAGACAGTAGAAATGTATCGATAATAATTTCCAGGCTCTGATGGTTGTATAGAGGTGATGCAGAATATTCTTGTTTAGTATGTAATGCATACTAAAGTATAAAGAAGTGAAAGAATATCAGATTGACAATTTACTCTAAAACAGCTCTGTCCTACCCATAAATAAGATAACACAGCCTCACTGACACCTGTGCTCAAGAAGGCTGCCCCTCTGATTCCATAGTTCAGGTCTTTACCTCCTTAGGTATTGCTCAAGTTTTGAAACGGGGACCAGAGATTACAATACAAAAGAGTAGGCAGGACCAGAGAATGAAATATTTGGGTTTAATTATTGATTCTTGGCTTTTTAATGTGACACTACTCAAAACGAGATCCAGCTGCCATCCCTGACAGTGAAAATACCTCCTTCAAAAGAAGCAGGTAAGGGGAAGATTTGGTATAGCGTTATTAGAATAGTATAAATCTGTATACACGTCCAACGTGTATACATGTACAAACGTCCAACATCTGAAAAACGTTCAAATAAATCATGGCACATCCTTACAATATAGTCATTAAAATGGGTGCTTATAAAATATTTTCATGTCACGAGAAAATATTCCCTAAATTACCAAGAACAAGGCCACGTACAAAATAAGGATTAAATAGAAAAAGATTACGTATGCAAAGACTGACCCACCAACCCTGAAACGGCCTGTGCATGACGCCCCGGTCTTACTTGCCTCAAGCTCCTCGGCTACCACGCGGACCAAGCAATGCTCCTCCAGGTGACCAGCATCCGCGGAGCCCGCGGAGATCCACGCCACACTCCGGTGCGTCCGCAACACCCGACGAACACATTCCCTCCATAAGCGGCATACGCTGGGGACGCAAACGCACAAAAGGTTGTGATAGGTCGTTCATTTCCTTCTCACAGACAACCCCAAATAGCACAGCAGGGGATTCTTGCGGGATCAAATGTCCGGGAGGGGGAGGTGTCAGGGCACAGATTCAGAGGGGAAACAGGAGGCAGAGAAAACCTTAAGGTGAACCTAGCCCTCCTGGGTAGAGTGCCCGAGACAAGGACGAGGGTACGGCGGAGGTACCTCGCGGCTGGGGGCAGCACCCGAGAGAAGGAGAAGGGATCCGGGGCAGCCGTGGCTCCCGAAGAGGTCTGCCCACCCCGCCAGCCAGGGCAAGCCCAAGGCAAGTCCCGAAGTAAGCTTCCCGCCTCCTCTCTCCTCACCCGGCCACCCGCAGCAACGCCTTGGCGGGCAGGAAGGTGAGGACACGCTCCACCACCTCCGCTAGGTTACCCAACACAAAGGTGCTTTGTGGGTCCGCGGAGGAGCCTTGGCGATCGCCACCACCGCGGTCACTACAGCCACCCACCATCTCCATTCCTCACCAACCCGCCGAGCAAGCAAACACTAGCGCGACTAGGAAGGAACTGGTTAGGCCGGGATAGGACCTCCTAGCCTGCACGCATTGAGCAGGCGCGCGAGCGCCACTTCCGGCCGATAAGGGGAGTCGGGCTGCTGAGACCCACCCACGTGACTGAAGGCCAGCCCGCTTCCTGCTTGGATCTCGGAGGGCCCACTGGCGCAAGGAGGCAGTGAGTGGGCTTGCGTCCCATAATCCTGTGGGACCTGTGTAGGAGGCCCCTCGCAGGCAAAAATAGGCCCTCCTCTCGCTGCACTTGCAGCGCTATATTCTTTGTCGGTTATGAGATCTCCTAGGACAAAACTAGGTAATACTTATCCCTCTTTACAGTACAGATGTCTGTTAACATGAGTCCAGTTTTTGAATGGGCAGTATCTACTTAAAAAAAAAAAAAAAGTGTGTGAAGATGACTTTTTGAATAGTCAAGTGAATGTGGTTAACTCATTGTAGCCCTCACTCTCTGTATGGAAGGACATAAATAAATTGCACCTACCGCTGCTGTGAAAATTGACCAAACTGCAGTAGTTCCTCACTAATAGCATCAGATTCACCAAGAATTATTAAGTTTTGGCTCTAACAGGTTTTCCCCTGAGGTATCATTAACAGTGGTATAGTAGTTTCAAGTCTATGATATGATTCAACAATTCTATACATTACTCCATGCTGGCTGATTCCCCTTCCACCTATTTCACCCATCCCCCTCAACCACCAGTTTTAGTATATTTTTTGAAGTGTTTGTTTCTGAGAGAGAGAAAGAGAAAGGGCGAGCTGGGAAGGGCAGTGAGAGAGGGAGACACAGAATCCAAAGCAGGCTGCAGGCTCTGAGCCTGTGAGGCAGAACCCAAGAACCTGATCATGACCTGAGCTGAAGTTTGAGCTTAACTGACTGAGCCACCCAAGCGCCCCTAAAAGGTTTTTAAAATTTGTTTGGCTTAAAATTACAGGAGTGAAATCATACGGTATTTGTCTATGACTTATTTCACTTAGCATTATACCCTCTACACCTATCCATGTTGTTGCAAACGGCAAGATCTCATTTTTTCTGGCTGAATAATATACTATTGTGTTTACACACTATTTATCTACTCATCTATTGATGGACACTTGGGTTGCTTCCCTATCTTGGCTATTGTGAATAATGCTGCAATAAATCTTTTCAAATCCGTGTTTTCAATTTCTTTGCATAGACCCAGTAGTGGAATTATTGGATATGGTTATTGTTTTTGAGGAACCTCCATATATTTTTCCAGTGCTTGGACCAGTTTGTATTCCCACCAACAGTGCACCAGGTTTCCTTTTTCTCCACTCTCACCAACACACTCGTCATTTCTTGTGTTTTTATTTTGAGCCATTCTGTCAGAAGGTGATACTTCATTGTGGTTTTACTTTGCATTTCCCTGATGATTAATGACGCTGAGCATCTCTTCATGTGTCTGTTAGGTTTTGGCACACTCTTGGTCCTCACTCCAGGCCTAATGAATCAGACACTGGGGGCAGGGCCCAACATTCTGAGTTTAACTTTTCTGTGATGTTTTCCTGTGATTCTGATGCTAGCCTAGGTTTAGAATCACAGATAGAAGGAATGTAAGCATAGCAGACACTGCTGTATCCCTACCTAACATCCACTACTCCTGCTGCTTCCTTACTAACAAAGCCCAGATTTGATCACCAGCTCTTGAGGGTAAACTTGGTTGAACTAAACTAACGGGTCTCAAACATTTTGGCCTCAGGACTCATTCACATTATGACAACACCAAAGAGCTTGTTTATGTGGGTTATTAATATTTGCCATATTAAAAATTAAAACATCTTAATATTAATTCACATAAAAATAATAAATCCATTACAGATAAAACGGAATTTTTATGAAAAATAACTATGCCTCCCCTCACCCAGTAGTGAATAGTTGTGGCATCATGTCACATTTTGCAAACCTCTAATTTCTGCATCTAAGAAAGCTGCATCTGCTTCTGAATTCCATTTATTACAGCATCACATCATATGGCCTCTGGAAAACGCCACTGTACACTTGTGAGAAAACAGGTGAAAATGGCAAATAATGTTTTAGTGTTAGGAAATAGTTTTGACCTTAAACATTTAAAAGGAGGGATCTCCAGGATTCCCCAAATCATACACTGAGAACCGTTGGACCATACTAATAATGATTTCATTCTTTTCATCAGCCATTAGTTTAGAGGTGGACACAGGCCCCAGTTCTAGGCAAGGAAAAGTGAAGAGCATTTCGCTTGGGGGATAGGGCTTCTAAAAAAATAAGACATTATCTACCTCTGGAGCGAGTAACACGGCTACAATATCCAGGTATGACGTCAAATCCAAAGATGAAACCAACATGGAAAAATCTCAAGGCAGCATAGCAGAGCCAAAATGTACCAGGCCTAGAATATTTCTATCTCTGTACTTCTTGTATGTAAGATAGCTTGATAACTGTATGTAAGGAGGCCACGAGAATACTAAAGAAGGTGCAGACTATTATAACTGGGGGAACTAGGGACAGCCATGATGAAAGCAGCACTCAGACTTAGATTGAGGAAGGAGAGTGGGAGAGGAAAAAAGTTGAGGAAAAGCTGCCATTTCTGGGTTTTCTAGCTTTCTCATGTTAAATCAACCTGTCTCTGTTCCTCTCAACCCTCTTCCTCACCCCATCCCACCATACATGAATCCTAGCTTACAAACACCTGAAGCCAAGAGTATCTCTGATGAGGGAAAAGTAACAAAGTTATATTTTAAATGGTTCTTTATTCATAAACTTGATGCAAGTTTACAAAATTTACTGTACATTGCCAAATAAATCTGCAATGAAAATTAAAACCAAAAAAAAAAAAAAAGCCCCAAAACAAAGCATGCCAAATGTGCGGCTGTCAATCTGCTAGCCATCAGGATATTAAAGAATTCAATAATGTATTCAAGATTTAGCCTTAGGTTTAAGGAACTTTAATGCTTTAAAGAATTCTGCCTGATCACTTATTATCTCAGCAACTGGCAATCAGATCTTTATACAAATGTAACCAAGTAAACAAGAATGCCAGAAAATCTTTCTTTACTGTCCTCTTAACCAAAATAGAAAAAGAAATTAAACACACAGAATAATGCTGAAGTGCCAAGTCTCTCTGGTGTGATTTATAAAGTTAAAAATTGAAACTCAGAGCAAATGCATAAGAAACACTTTCTAATTTTGTAATTTGTGCAGAAAAATGTGCTTCTGGATTTCATTTTAAAAGTGCTTAATAACTAGAATTTACTTTTAAATCAAACTTGGGTAGATAAAATCTATCACCAACCAAACAGGACTGATTCAGGTAAGGCAAGAAAATGGAGAATACACTGATTTAAGTCAGGTTTTATAAAACAATGAACATATGTAGAGTTCCTATCAGTTTTTCAATGCAAGAACCATCGTTATGACTATACCAAAAATTTTGTCTCCAAATTAGATATCTTTTCGTACTTAACTGTGCAGCTTTTGCTCAAGGATTCTGTCTTTGTGCCAATCACTTTACAAGTTTATTAGTTTAAAAATGATTGCAACATCCCGTTAAAATGGAAACATAAAATGATTTAGTATTTTAAATAACTTCAAGCTCTATATTGTAGTTCTTCATAAGAAATACTGAACCAACAAGAAGCAGATTCAGCCCAGCAAGACTCTGACGCCCCGGTGGAAATTATTACTTACAAAGCCTTAATTTGCACAGCCTTGCTTTGCTTTTGCCTGAAAGTACAACTCAGTTAAGAGCATATCGTCAGAAAACAATTCATATCTTCACCTAGCCATAAAAAAGTTTTAACAATTTAATGAGTAGGCTTCCTGTCATTATTTTGGCAATATCAAAAATTGGTTTTAACTTGAAAAAGCTACTGTGTTTTAGAAGACCTTAAATTTTCTAAACCAACATTAAACATCAATTAAACTTTTATTGGCTCTAAATGGAACAGTATATTGCAAGTCCTCATAACACATGAGCTCAATGTGGGAAAGTGACCCTACAGTCGCAACTTCTGTAATCTGATACTGACTTCCTGCTTAAAAGATTTCACTTTGCAAGAAAAGGAGATCATGAGTGGCCAGTATGTGTATTTATCACGAAAAATACAGTAAAGGCCCCAGTGCTCAGTCCACAATACCTAAAATGAGCAAAATGAAAAGGCTGTAACTCATACTGGATGTCAGTTGACAGATTATCCACTAAAATATCTATTAGCTAATGTCTTCAGTACTGCTGTTATAGGGGCAACTCAAAGCTTGTGTCTGCATGTTGGAAAGATTTTCTTTAAAGCAACATTGGTCCAAACATACGACAGTCAACATATTTAGCCATCTTCCTTTGGAGGGGTGTACCAGCCTGAAACACAATGGAAAAAAAGTTAAAATACCTTATTAAATCAACTAGGAGAAATGGCAATTCATTTAAGGTTAGCTACTTTGTCTACTCATATTTTTGTTTAAACCTACTATAAAAATTAAACTTACACTTGGGTTGGTAACACAGCATTTTGTTATGTGCACAAATTTATTTCTATGAATAAATCATACTTGGGTTTTCAACATAAGATCTCTATACTAGTGGAATTTCTAGCTAAAGATGATAGTATGGAATACTAGACTATAAGCTAGATTTTATCTTCTATTTCAACCCTGTAGTAGTAAACCCCACTGAAAATAACTATTCCCTAAACAAAATGGTGGCATCTTAGAATAAGAGGAACCTGGATTGTCGTTAGTGCAATGATACCATTTCACCAGTGAGGAAGTCATTTTAGCAAGTGCAGTGACTGTGCCTAAGATGAGAGTCGGCACCAGAAACCAACCTAGAACCCATCTCCTGATTCTGAATCGACTGTTCTTTCACCAAAGCTGAGCTTATAAACACCCACACTTTCTAAAATACAGCACTTTCTATAAACACTTGTGAATGCTGATTATGTTTGCTTCAACAAAAAATAAAAGAAGAAAAAATGTGATTTTTCCTGGACTCAACAAAAATCTAAGCTTTCTACAGAAAGGCTAATGAAAATAAGTACTGTTTGGCATGAAATGGCCATTGGAACAGTATGAATATACCAAGATTTGTGGAGAATCCACATGGTTATGAAGTAGTATACGAGTACCCATGGATATACTAATTTAGTGTGTTGCGAATTAATATGAAAACCCAGATTTGCCCTCAACTTTCATCATTTCCTTCTTCAAAAGCTTGAACTGTTTTAAATATTATTCTTTTATATGTAGTCACCAGAAAAGTGAAGTTTTCTTTGTGATTAAAATAAAAGCGAGCACAAAGTACAAATGTTAAGTCACAAGCTACCACATTTCTAGTAAAAAACACTTTACTGTACCTACTCTCCTTAAAGAAAACTACTTCTTATTAATTTATTTACTCTGCATGAAAAAGCATCCGTTTCACTACTATGGCTATTATGAATATCTTATTATCAGCACTTAATTCAAAGTGCCATATGTATACACTATTCTTTTTTTCCTCTCAAGTTTGGCAAGACATATATGCCATTTTAGAGATGAGGAAACTAAGACTGAGAGGTAATGGGACTTGCTCAAAGAGACACAGAGTTAGAGAGTAACACAAATGGCACTTGAAAAATCGGGTCTTCTAATTCCAAATCTACTTCACTGTTAGAGACAAAGACTCAAAACATGCATTATGAATACAACTTAAAGTAGAACAATAAAGTTTATGAAAGATATTTTAAGAGTTTAAATTTACAACTCTTATACAAGTGTATTTACAGTATACAACAGTATACAACATATATACAGTATACAGTATACAACAGTATATAAGTGTATACTGAAATGAGAATGTTCCTTGAACAGATAAAGGTGTATGACTGTCAAAAAGCATTAAGAAGACATTTTAGAAACAGCTTATTCAGGATCCTGATTGCATTTACTCAGTATCAATAAGAACTCCACCTGTACAACTGCCTTTAACTCAATTCCTACCCTAATACCATACATTTCAAGTGAGAAGTGATTCATTTATTAATCTGTTAAGAAATTTAGACTCTGACTTAGGTTCTCAGGTCAAGTACTTAGGATACAAAGATTTTTCAATGAAGCAGAGTGTGTGCATCCTCCAGTTAAATTTTTTCACTGGGGAAACAGTATTTTAAGAGATTACTGCAAAAACAAACAGGGTAAGTTATCAATAGTATCTTATATACAACTTCATAAATGGTAATAAATACTTATTGAATTAAACGTACCATTTTTCTCATGTATCTGTACAATGGAATTATAGGATTGTTGGGCTCTTGCTAGATTATACTGATTCTGAAAGAGAATTATACATTTTAAACAAAAACCTGAAGATGAAAATCATTACAAATAATTTATGGATGCATAGTCACTATGCTTAAAAGAACAGAGGAAACTAAATTATATTTCTGTTTCAAAAATAATTTTAACTTAATGCCCTCATTTCTCAATTTTATTATTCTCTACCACTTTAGAATAACAAAACCAAAGTTGTACTACCATAAAAATCTATTTAAACTTCACAGTTCATTTGTATAAATTCTCTTACCACTGGACAAGTATAAAGCTTTATAGTTCTAGTGCCCTTCACCACTGACGCATCAAGTTAAAGAATGCTATTCAGACATGAATAAAACTTAAAACTCTCCTCTTCATAATAAAATAAAAAACAAAAAATTACAAAATATTACCTTTAGATAAGGTTAGTAGTAAGCTTTGAGGACTATACATATAAATGACACCTTGAGTTAAAGATGTCCATAAGTGGCACCAAGCCATTACAAAAGGAGTCCTCTTTTAGGTCTCTTTTTAAGGGGCCAAATTTAGGATTAATTTTGTCTCACGGAGTGACATCATAACTACAATTAATGTCATAAGCATTCTTCATAGTGGTACATACCTATGTTATAGAATTTAATAATAAATTCACACAGTATAAAAATTAAAAATGTATAAAACATTCTAAGTGAAAATTCTCCTTCCTACCTGTCCTCCAACCATCCAGCTCCTCCTCTCATCCATCCTCCTTTCCCTACCCAAGTTAACTACTGTTAGTTTCTTGTATCTCATTAAGATTAAATAAGAAAAGTCAGGTAAAGCCTATTATTATTAGCCACCATCCCTTGCTTCTCCCAACAAATGATAGGTAGCATCCTACAAACCCTGTTCTGCCTCTTCTCACTTAAGGAATCTTGCACCTTGTCCCAGATCACTGCACAAAAAGCTTAACCTTTCTGTTTTTTTAAACCACAAAGTATTTCATTGTATGGAGACTCAAATATTTAATTACTCCCCCCCAACTGGAGGACATTTAAGTTCTTTTCAATATTTTGTTACAATGTTACAGTGATCAACCTTGTACAAATATTTCCAAAGCACTGGTAAAAAGTCTTTGAGTGGAAATGCTGGGTCACAAGACATATATGCCTTTATAATTTTGAGGTGTTGCTAAATAGCTCTCTGCAAGACTGTGGAAATGGGTTTGCTGCTTGACACGTATGAGAATTTGTGACAGTATCATAGGTGGACGATGAACTCAGTGTAAGTGTGATTTGCATTTCTAATACTGAGCAAGGTTGAGTGTGTCTCCAATATGTTTATAAGCAATTTACTTCTATTTCTACAAATAGACTTTTTGTGTCTTCTTCTACAGTATGGCCCCTTTGAATTTCTAAGAGCTCTTTAAAAATAGTAAAAACCCTCCCACAATGCATCTGAAAAACAAACATAAAATGTGTTATTTCCAAGTTAATAAAAAGTAATATTTTTCAGTCTATATTTTCACTAAAGAACAAAAATACAAGAGAAACAGATTATATACAGCAAAATATGCATGCACAGAAACTTGCAAATGATTAAAAAGCAGTCACTTCCTAACCCTAATGCCCACCTACAAGAAGAAAAAAATAAGAACATTAGCCTTCTCAGTTGTCAATAGCATGATCTTCAAATTCTACTTTAAAGAGCATGTTACTGCAGAGGCTTTACTGTAATGGGGAGTTAGCCCTATTTTCTAATTCACTGATTTCTGCTTATATTATTATTAACCCCTCCCTTCTGCTTTCCTTCAGTTTGTCTTTTTTTTTTAATGTTTATTATTTTTGAGAGAGAGAGAACACAAATGGGAAAGGAGCAGAGAGAGAGAGAGAGACAGAAACTGAAGCAGGCTCCAGGCTCTAAGCTGTTAGCGCAGAGCCTGATGAGGGGCTTGAACCCACAAAACTGTGAGATCATGACCTGAGCCAAAGTTGGACTCTCAACCATCAACCAAATGAGCTATCCAGGTGCCCTATTTGCCTTTTTATTTTAATATATTTATTTTTGAGAGAGAGAGAGAGAGACTATGTGATAGAGGGGGGACCGAGAGAGAGGGAGACAGAGAATCCTGATGTGGGGCTCAAACCCATGACCTGCAAGATCATGACCTGAACCAAAATCAAGAGTCGGATGCTTAACCAACTGAACCATCCAGGTGCCCCTTGATTGTCCTTTCTAACACTGACTTAGAGGCCTGATTCATTTTTATTCTTTTTTTAAAAAAATATTTTATTTTTTACTTCTGAGAGAGAGAGAGAGAGAGGGCAGTGTGAGCAGGGGAGGGCCAGAGAGAGAGGGAGACACAGAATCCGTAGCAGTCTCCAGGCTCTGAGCTGGCTGTCAGCACAGAGCCCGACACGGGGCTCGACCCTAAGAACCATGAGATCATGACCTGACCCAAAGTCGAACACTCAACCGACTGGGCCACCCAGGCACCCCTCTTTTTTTTTTTAAATGACACAAAGATTTTAGAGCAAGTATTCCCTCTGCCCTCTCGTTTAATTTCTAGGACATAGGCATTTCATTATTGTTATTCTCTAGCTGTTCTACAGTTTCCACTTCAAAGTCCCATTAAGGGCTGTTTGTGTTCATAATTCCACAAAAGGAACATTTGCTTTCTGAATTTGTTATTATAGTTTTTTAATTAGGATCAGAGAATGATATCTGTCCTTTTCCTACTTCCAAAATTAAAGTTGTCTTCATTGAAGAGGATTTGTTTCATGAATGTTCCAGAGAAGAGATAGTGAGTGAGAGAGAGAGAGAGAGAGAGAGAGAGAGAGAGAGAAGGAAGAGAGGACAAAGGGAGAATTTTAGTATTTTCATTACGGTTCAGTTCTAATTCTTTTTAAATTTTCACATGATTTCTTTCTTTTTTTTTTTAATATTTTTATTTATTTCTAGGAGAGAGAGAGACAGCGTGAGCAGGGGAGGGTCAGAGAGAGAGGGAGTCACAGACTGAAACAGGCTCCAGGCTCCGAGCTGTCAGCACAGAGCCCGACGCGGGGCTCGAACCCACGAACCGCGAGATCATGACCCAAGCGAAAGTCGGACCCTTAACCGACTAAGCCACCCAGTCGCCCCAAAATTTTCACATGATTTCTTAACCATGATTTACAATTGTGTTTCATTTCCAATTTTTTATTAATCTTTTCTTGTATTCTAACCTTAACCGCATCATATTCAAATTATATGGCTTGTTTTTAAATATTCTTAATTTATGAATTTATTATTTTTCCCATATTCCATAAATGCTTGGGAAAGATTATGTAGTATCTAATTACTGGGTACAGAGTTCTATATCTGTCCATTTGACCAAACTTAATTGGTTATTCAAATCTACATTTTCACACATTTAATTTACTATAGACAAGGTACATTAAAATCTCTCATTATGATGGTGACTTGGTCAGTTTCTCCTGTATTTCACTAGTTTTTTTAAGTATAGTCAACACACAATGTTCTATTAGTTTCATTTATAAAGTTTTTATCAAGTTTTTTAATGTGTATTTTGATGCTATTTTAATACGTAAAGTAAAAAATTATTATACTTCCTGGTTAACTGAGACTTTTATCATTAAGTAGTGCTTTCTGTCCCAAAATCCTATTTTGATACAATATAGCTACATCACCTATTTTGTTGTTGTTATTACCCTTTACTGGCATATCTTTATCATCCTCTCTCATTAAAAAAAAAAAAAAAAAAGAGAGGGTGCCTAGGTGGCTCAGTCAATTGGGCATCCGACTTCGGCTGAGGTCATGATCTCGCAGATCACAAGTTTGAGCCCTGTGTCAGGCTCTGTGCTGACAGCTCAGGGCCTGGAGCCTTCTTGGGAGTCTGTGTCTCCCTCTCTCTCTCTCTCTCTCTGCCCCTCCCCTGCTCATGCTCTGTCTTTCTCTTACTCAGAAATAAACATTAAAAAAATTAAAACAAAACTTTTCAGTCTTCTTGTATCCTTATAATTGAAACATACTTCGTAGGGGCGCCTGGGTGGCTTAGTCGGTCAAGCGTCCGACTTTCGCTTAGGTCATGATCTCGCGGTTCGTGGGTTCGGGCCCCGCGTCGGGCTCTGTGCTGACTGCCAGCTCAGAGCCTGGAGCCTGTTTCAGTCTGTGACTCCCTCTCTCTCTGACCCTCCCCTGCTCACGCTGTCTCTCTCTCTCTCTCTCCTAGAAATAAATAAAAACCTTAAAAAAAATTAAAAAAAAAAAAAAGATGTTGAAACATACTTCTTAAAAACCACCAGATTTTTTTATTAATTCATCATAACTGGTAACTTTAGTCCATGTATACTTGTGACTTGCTTTACCACCTTACTTTGTGGTTGCTAGTTCTCTTGGTTTTTAACATAATTTTATTATCTCCTCCTGGGGTTCCAATAAGACATTTTAAAAACAGACGTCATTCTGATTGTCACCTCTCAACTTCTAGCACAATGTCTATCCGCATGTTCTTCTCTGTGTAACATTATTTCTTCTAATCAATTAATTCTCTTCTGATACCTAATCCCACCCATTGTTTCTCATTAATTATATTTTTCATCTCTATAAATTCTGTTACACTCTTTTTTCAGATTGGTCTCATTATTCCTGATGGTTTCATTGTTTGCTCAATTTTAGGATGTTTTATTTAATTAGGTTTCACACAGAACTATTCATTTTCTCATAATTCTAATATCTAAAGTCTCTATTCTATGTCTGATAATCCCAAAACCTAAAGTCTTTGGGAATATATATCTCTTATGTATTGTTTCTGCCAATTCTCTTTATGCTGGCTTGCTTACTTATGTGCTTGGGATCTTTCACAGTGAATTCTTATTTGCTTGTTCTTACTCTTTGAGAATCTTGTAGGCTTAAATCAGAAAAGCTTTTCCTGTGAGGAGTATCTGTGCCTGCTTCTGATGAGAACTGTGAACTAACATGAGATCATCTTAGCTTCCTTGGGAGAATCTCAGGATTATGCAAAGTTCTCACACTGGGCTTGCAAACCTTGCTCATTTATAAATAAAACACTGGAATACTTAGTACGGGAAGCACCTCCCCACTCCTTGAAAGGAAACAACAAAAACCAGATGGCTCATCTGAAGATGATCACTCACCAGAGAATTCTCTAGGTAAATGATTGGAAGTCCATTAGGAATAGGGTATGATAGGTGCCTTTCCTGTAGAAATAGTTTAGGGGCTGCTCCAAGAGTTGTGTGCTCTAGGATTTCACTAATTAACTCAACTATCATGCCCTCCATATGGTGAATGAACATTTGTAAGGGCACTACCTTGCCTATCCAAACCCCGAATTATTGCTAAGTCATAACAGCAGAACTCTACAGGGCTTTCTTACCACTACAGCCTAGAGTTAATGTTACAGCCAGTATCCCATGTTAACTGATCAGAAAACCAGCCTGGCCAATATCCTTCTGCCTCATGGCTTGCTCTCAGCTCCTGCTGGCTGAGCCTAGGGGAGCAAGCTAATGGCAAGACTGTACAGAGACTCTTGCTTGCTAGAGTTGCAGATGCTCAGCTCCATCAATCTGACCCTATAACCAAATTTCATGTGTGCTGACAGGCAATTTTTAAATTTTCCAGTACTTCTGTATATCATTTTAGTAATATTTTCAAGAGATAAACTCATTCATTTATTTTGAACCAATAGCTGGTATTATCTTTAAAAATATTTAAAATAGGGGTGCCTGGGTGGCTCAGTCAGTTAAGTGTCTGACTTTGGCTCACGTCATGATCTCGTGGTTCAGGAGTTTGCAACCTGGGTCAGGCTCTGTGCTGACAGCTCAAAGTTTGGAGGCTGATTTGGATTCTGTGTCTCCCCTCTTTCACTCATGCTCTGTCTGTCAAAAATAAATAAAACATTTAGGGGCACCTGGGTGGCTCAGTTGGTTAAGCGTCTGACTTCGGTTCAGGGTCATGATCTCATGGTTCGTGGGTTCAAGGCCCATGTCAGGCTCTGTGCCAACCGCTAGCTCAGAGCCTGAGCCGGTTTCAGATTCTGTGTCTCCCTCTTTCTCTGAACCTCCCCTGCTCATGCTGTCTCTCTTTCTTTCTCTCTCTCAGAAATAAAACATTTAAAAAAATAAATGACATTTAAAAATTTAAATATTTAAAATATTTTTGAACAGTTATATGTCAAAAGAAAGAGCATAAATGATTTAAAGTCTCCCTCCCATCTTTAACTCACCCCGTCAATATTCAATATCTCCTTATCAGAAATAGTTGTTAGTACTTTCTTGATTATCCTGTAGAATTTAAAAGCCTACAAGGTAAAACTCCTATTACATCATGTAAAGTTTCCAGTCTTTTTTTTTTTTTAATGTTTTATTTATTTCTGAGAGAGAGAGAGAGAAAGAGAGAGAGAGACAACGTGAGCAAGGGAGGGTCAGAGAGAGAGAGGGAGACACAGAATCCGACGCAGGCTCCCGGCTCTGAGCTAGCTGTCAGCACGCCCGACATGGGGCTCGAACCCACGAACCACGAGATCACAACCTGAACTGAAGTCGGACGCTTAACCAACTGGGCCATCCAGGCACCCATAAAGTTTCCATTCTTAACCAACAGTATTAATAAGAAGGAAAACATGGAAGGGTGAGGTTTTATAACATTTCATTCAAAAAATTCACCTTCTAAGACCTGTAAATGTGCTTAGCTGCCTGACTTAGCATTATATATAAAATATATATATACTTACTTGTTAAGAAAACTATATAGAATGGAAATATAAAGGTTGAAAGCAATTATATTGACACAGTGATTCCAAGAGAACTGTGGCACTGAACGAGCACTGATATTATAGAATTTTAAAACTAAAAGAGACTTAAAATATTTTAGCTAAAGATACAGAAGCCCAGAAGAGGTAAGTTTACACAGTGAGTTATTAGTAAAATGTTTTTTTTTTAATGTTTTATTTATTTTTGAGAGAGAGACAGAGTATGAGTGGGAGAAGGGCAGAGAGAAACGGAGACACAGAACCTGAAGCAGGCTCCAGGCTCTGAGCTGTCAGCACAGGGCCTGATGCAGGCCTCAAACTTGTGAACTGCAAGATCATGACCTGAGCTGAAGTCAGATACTTAACTGACTGAACCACCCAGGCACCCCTAAGATGTTCTTTCAATTATGCAAAATGATCATTGTTCTAAGTCTTTTATATTTTCTTTAACATGAAAAACATGCTAATTTTTTTTTTTTTTTTTAATTTCTAGGACAGAGAGAGAGAGAGACAGCGTGAGCAGGGGAGGGTCAGAGAGAGAGGGAGTCACAGACTGAAACAGGCTCCAGGCTCTGAGCTGGCAGTCAGCACAGCGCCCGACGCAGGGCTCGAACCCACAAACCGCAAGATCATGACCTAAGTGAAAGTCGGACGCTCAACCGACTAAGCCACCCAGGTGCCCCAAAAAAACATGCTAATTTTTAATAAAAACATGATGAAATTTAACATCAAGTTCTACATACAAATAAATGCCAGGAAGAAACTTAAAAAACCAGAAGAAGTATATCAAATGTTAATAGTATTTCTAGGTTACAAATGACTTCAGTTTTTTGTATATTTTTTTCACATTAAAAACCATGCAGTGTACATAAATTTTGTCAACACAAAAAAATAAAATTCTAATGGCCTACTACATATTCATTCTAGTGACACATTTAATATACATATAATACCTAAGATATATACACTGTTAAGAAATGCTAGTTAATTTGGGGCACCTGGGTGGCTCAGTCGGTTAAGTGTCCGGCTTCGGCTCAGGTCATGATCTCACAGTTCGTGGGTTCAAGCCCCGCGTCATGCTCTGTGCTGACAGCTAGCTCAGAGCCTGAAGCCTGCTTCAGATTCTGTATCTCACCCTCTCTCTGAACGTCCCCTGCTCACGTTGTGTCTCTCTCTCTCTATCTCCCTCTCTCTCTCTCTGAAACATTAAAAAGATTTTTTAAAAAATGCTAGTTAAATGTAGTTAAGCAGCTCACTAGTGTTCAATAATTAACTTTTAGACTTTATATAAAATGGTATTTTATTCCAGTGCAAATAGCTGTTAAAAGAACTCAAGTAAAAATGAGTTGCTATACAGTACTATCCCAAATAGATGATTTTTCAATCAGTGTTTTCAATTTTTTGCTTCCTCTGTGAGTTAAGATTCTAGTGGACTCATGCTTTGATGTGATGTGATATGATTTATAAATACATTATTTAGATTTCATACTATTTGGATAAGCATTTAACACAAGATTCACAGGCCTTTAGGAACATCCAGATTTTTTTAAATGTTAGGTTAGGATCATTTCCATCACACAGATACTTTTGCAAAATATACTAACTTCAGAGTATTGTCCTTGGTCCATTTAACTGTTTAGAGATAACTACAATTAGACATGGAAAGATGTTTCAGATATAGTTAGTGAATAAAGAACATAACACAGTGGGTAAGAGTGGAGACTAACACCAGCCTGTCTGTTTCCAATCCTTGTTCTGCCTGTCACTTTAGACCGGTTATCTAACCTCTGTGTGCTTCAGTTTCCTCATGTACAAAATGAGAATAATAATATTATTATTAACTCTTAGGTTAGTAAAAGGAATGAAAGAGTACATACAAGTAAAAAGTTTAGATCAAAGCCTAGCATATAAATGCTCACTGGAAATTAATTATGCTAATATGATCTCAATTTTGGAAACTTCAAAGTACATATAATTTTTTAACTTACTAGTATTTACATTACCAATAATAGATTTACAATTATAGACATGTTTCTCTATAGTAAGAATAACAAAGACTAAAAGAATAAGAAGACGCCTCGTAAGGTGACAGAAAATATAGATTATAAATGATTATGTCATCATCTTAATAAAAGTACCTTATTTGCTCCAAACTGCACTCTGGCTTTGCCTTTGACTAAGGTAGCATTGATTTGCATGATGACGGATTCTATTGAGTAGGCACTGCTCCAGCCCTACAGGAAGAAGAAAACACTTCTCTAAAACATAATGGTACTCTTGATTCCCACTCGGGAAAACTTAACAAAATGGCTCAACAACAGCAAGACAATATTAAGAAGTCTGCATATGAGACAAAAAAGTAGTCAGACCATTTCTAAAATCTCATAAAACAAAAAAACTTATGTTCTAAGTATCAAATATGAGCAAATTATAGCCTTATATACACACTGCTTTTAGAATGCCTATCCTTGCATAGGTTAAACACCAAGTACAATGTCATTTTACTGGTTTGCCTTAAATAACTTTTTCGTTATTAAAAGTAGTTGCTATTGAAAACAACTTTTTTTAAGTAGATGGTATTACCTCAGAGCCGTTCCCCTCAGAATCTAATTTACATTATCAAAACACTCCACTGAGATTGAAAAATCTTAGTACCATAAGAAATTAGTTACCTGGGGGGAGGGGGGAGATGTGCATGGAGGAGGGCACTTGTTGGGATGAGCACTGGGTGTTATATGGAAACCAAGTTGGCAATAAACTCTTTGTAAAAAATTAAAAAAAAAAAAAAAAAGAAATTAGTTACCTGTTTTGTGAGAAGTTCCATACATAGTGCTCCACCACCCAACACATACCTTAAAAAGAGAAAAGGATCATACTTAATCTGCTAGACCTCAGTGTTCCTTCTTTTTTTTTTTTTTTTTTAAAATTTTTTTTTAATGTTTTATTTATTTCTAGGAGAGAGAGAGAGAGACAGCGTGAGCAGGGGAGGGTCAGAGAGAGAGGGAGTCACAGACTGAAACAGGCTCCAGGCTCTGAGCTGGCAGTCAGCACAGAGCCCGACGCGGGGCTCGAACCCACGAACTGCGAGATCATGACCTAAGCGAAAGTCGGACGCTTAACCGACTAAGCCACCCAGGCGCCCCGTCAGTGTTCCTTCTTAATTTTTAGTTATTTTATTTTATTCTTTTACTTTGAGAGAGAACAAGAGAGAACTAGCAGGGGAGTAGCAGAGAAAGAGGGAGACAGATAGAATCTCAAGACAGAATCCCACACTGAAACACTGTCAGTATAGAGCCTGATGTGGGGCTTGAACCCAGGAACTGTGAGATCATGACCTGAGCCAAAAAAAACAAGAGTCAGACACTTAACCAATTGAGCCACTCAGATATGCCCCTTTGTAACTCTTAAAGTTCTGCCACTAAGGAAGTATGCATACAATCAAAGGTTAGAAGATAATATGCAAAAATGAGAACAGTGGTTAGGGTTCTAGGACCTTCGTTAAAAAATTAGTTTAAAAAATTCTAATGTTATCACTTTATTACAGTCTTATTTTTTTTGTTTTTATTTCTGAATGAGAGAGACAGCATGAGCAAGGGAGGGTCAGAGATGGAGATACAGAATCCGAAAACAGGCTCCAGGCTCTGAGGTGGCTGTCAGCACAGAGCCTGATGTGGGGCTCAAACCCATGAACCGTGAGATCATGACCTAAGCCGAAGTTGGACACTTAACCAACTGAGCCACCCAGGCGCCCCCAGTCTTTTTTTTTTTTTTTAATAATGGTTCTTGGAATGCTTAAACACACTAAGGATGTCAGAAAGTAGGAACTTACCCTAAATATTTCAGAGAATGGAAATGCTATATTCATGTGAAAACTTCTCTGCCATCATGTTAGCCAATGGCACCAACTTTCCCCTATCTATAATAATGAATACCCACATTTTATGGTTTAAATTGTTTTTATCCATTCTTTTGTGAGGATCAAATGGTTCTGACCACAGATTTCTGGGACTCCTTAATTTCTCTTGCTATTTCTGAGAACTGTTCTCTGAACCAGACAACTTCTGAGAATTTCCCAGATCTCTTTTAGGAAATCATTATTTAAGATCAAGATCTTTCTCAAACAAAATAACTTCATTTCTACTTTATTGTTATTTTAAACTTCAAGATACATGAAATATTGTGTCTAAAAATAAAACCTAGGGAATGATGATTAAAGAATGACTGATAAATCTTGAAAACGCATAACCCAAGACCACAGGTGGGATTAGATACAAGTGAACACAGAGTCCATTACAAACTTTTTGTCCTCTGGGACTTTGCACATGTCTTTCCTTGCATGAGACTCCTTTTGCTCCCTATTCTCCCAAATGCCATATTTTCCCCAGATAAAACTCATCAGGACCATTCTAGCCTGCAGATTTTGTATTCAGGCTAATGAAGTACATCTTTGTATTGACTTAACCAAATTATAGAAAAGTAAAGAATTGAAAGACTTCTACTATAGACCATTATAATTGTTACAGTGAAATTATTCAATAATGGAAACTATTCAATAATTCACACGTCCTGGGGCGCCTGGGTGGCTTAGTCGGTTAAGCATCCGACTTTCGCTTAGGTCATGATCTCGCGGTTCGTGGGTTCAGGCCCCGCGTCGGGCTCTGTGCTGACTGCCAGCTCAGAGCCTGGAGCCTGTTTCAGTCTATGACTCCCTCTCTCTCTGACCCTCCCCTGCTCACGCTGTCTCTCTCTCTCTCCTAGAAATAAATAAAAAAAAAAATATTTAAAAAAAAAAAATTCAAGATACAAAACCTGGGAGTCACTGACACAGGAGATATTTTGAAAGCCATAGGAGACTTTTCAGCAAATACTAGCATAATTGGACCATTAGGCAAGATTCTAGGACCCAAATCTCATACCTTATACAAAAATTAACTCAAAATGATTCATAAACTTATCTGTAAAATGTAAAACTATAAAACTCTGATAAAACACAAAACAGGAGAAAATCTTCAAGATCCAGGACAAGGCAAAAGTTCTTAAAATTGATGCTAAAAGTATAATCCACAGAAGGAAAAACACATATAAATTGAAACTCATCAAAACTAAAAACTTTCTGCAAGACATAAAATCACTATAAAAAATCTGTTGCGTTTCCATATGTTAGTAATGAAAGAGAAGAAAGAGAATTAAGAGAACAATCCCATTTACAGTTGCATCAAAAGGAATACCTAGGAATAAATTTAACATAGGAGGTGAAAGACCAGTACTCTAAAAACTCTAAGACACCGATGAAAGAAATAGAAGGTGACACAAATAAATGGTAAAATATACTGTGCTCATGAACTGGAAGAATACTGTTTTGGATAATATAGGCATTTAAACAATCTACAGACTCAGTGCAATCCCTATCAAAATACCAACAATGCTTTTCAGAAAACTAGAACAAAAAATCTTAAGATTTGTATGGAACCACAAAAGACTGAATAGCCAAAGCAATCTTGAGAAAACAACAAACCTGGAGGTATCACGAGTTCAGATTTCAAACTATATTACAAAGCTACAGTAATCAAAAACAGTATGGTACTGGCGCGCAAAGAGACATATATCACTGGAACAGACAGAGCCCATAAATAAACTCACATTTACATGGTCAATTAACCTAGGACAAAAAAAAGACAAAAATATACAATGGGAAAGAAAGATCTTTTCTTCAATAGTGTTGGGAGAACTAGACAGCTACATGCAAAAGAATGAAACTGGACCATTCTTTTGCATCATACACAAAAATAAACTCAAAATGGATTAAAGACTTAATTGTAAGATCTGAAACCATAAAACTCCTACAAGAAAACATAGGCAGTAAACCCCTAGAAATCGGTCTTAGCAATATTTTTCTGGATATGTCTCTCCAGGCAAAGGAAACAAAAGCAAAAATGAACAACTGGGACTACATCAAACTAAAAAGCTTTTGCACATTAAAAGAAACCATCAATAAAACCAAACCAAAACAAAAAACAAGGCAACCTCTTCTATGGGAAAAAGCTATTCACAGATGATATATCCAATAACGGGTTAACATTCAAAATATGTAAAGAACTCCTACAACTCAACACCAGTAGAGAACCTGAGTAGACATTTTTCCAAAGAAAACCTACAGATGGCCAACCAACACATGAAAAGGGGCCCATCACTAATCATCAGGAAAATGCAAATCTAAACCAGAATGATAATACCCCACTCACACCAGTTAGAATAACCAGTATCAAAAAGACAAGAAACAATAAGTGCTACACAGGATGTAGAGAAAGAGAACCTGCATGCACTGTTACTGGGAATGGAAATTGGTGTAGCCACTATGGAAGACAGTATGGAATGTCCTCAAAAAAACTAAAAGGAGGGATGCCTGGGTTGTTCAGTCAATTGGGCATCCAACTTCAGCTCAGGTCATGATCTCATGGTTTGTGAGTTCGAGCCTCGTGTTGGGCTCTGTGCTGACAGTTTAGTACCTGGACCCTCCTTCAGATCCTGTGTCTCCTCCTCTCTCTGTCCCTCCCATGTTCATGCTCTCTGTCTCTCTCAATAATAAATAAAAATGTTAAAAAAAGGAAAAAAATACATACAATCTAGTAATTCCACTTCTAGGTATTTACCCAAAGAAAATGAAAACATTAATTTGAAAAGGTATGTTTACTGCAATATTATTTACAATAGCCAAAATATGGACACAATCCAAGTGTCTATTGATAGATGCATGGATAAAAAAGTGGTGTGTGCATGCACACACACACACACACACACACACACGGAGGAATATTACACAGCCTTAAAAAGGAATGAGATCTTGCCATTTGTGACAGCATGGATAGATCTAGGGTATAATGCTAAGTGAAATGAAAGAAGTCAGACAGAGAAAGACAAATACCATATGATTTCACTTATATGTGGAATCTAAAAAATAAAACAAATGAACAAACAGCAAAAAAAAAATTATATATATATAGACAACAGACTTGTGATTGCCAGGGGGTGGGGGAAGGTGACAAAGGGGAGTGGGGAAGAATAGATAAAGAGGATTAAGAGGTACAAACTTCCAGTTATAAAATAAATCATGGCAATAAAAAGGTCAGCATATAGTTAATAATATTGTAATAACTTTGTAAGGTGACAAATGGTAACTATACTTATCACAGTACACATTTTATAATACTTAAATTGGCAAATCAGGAGGTTGTACACCCAAAACTAATGATAATATATATCAACTATACTTCAATTTAAATAAACTAAAAACTTTTGCTCCACAAAAATTCTGTTAAGAGGATAAAATGGGGGCACCTGGGTGGCTTAGTCGGTTAAGCGTCCGACTTTCGCTTAGGTCATGATCTCACGGTTCGTGGGTTCGAGCCCCGCGTCGGGCTCTGTGCTGACTGCCAGCTCGGAGCCTGCAGCCTGTTTCAGTCTGTGACTCCCTCTCTCTCTGACCCTCCCCTGCTCGCACTGTCTCTCTCTCTCTCCTAGAAATAAATAAAATATTTAAAAAAAAAAAAAGAGGATAAAATGAAGGTACATACTTAAAGAAATTGAAAACTATATATCCAACAAAGGACTACTATATGTAGTTCATATTAAAAATTTTTTCAAAATTCAACAAGTAAAAAAATATCCAATTAGAGAATTGGCAAGCAAACATGGATAGATATTTCAGGGAAGAGTATATGAAGTTGCCAAATAAGCACATGAAAGATATTCAATACTAGAAAATATGCATTAAAGAAACACAAATTTTGGGGCGCCTGGGCGGCTCAGTTGGTTAAGCGTCCGACTTCAGCTCAGGTCATGATCTCGCGGTTCGTGGGTTCGAGCCCCGCATCGGGCTCTGTGCTGATGGCTAGCTCAGAGCCTGGAGCCTGTTTCCGATTCTGTACCTCCTTCTCTCTCTAAAAACCTCCCCTGTTCATGCTGTCTCTCTCTCAGAAATAAATAAAACATTAAAAAAAAAAAAAAAAAGGATCACAAATTTTTTTAAATCTTTATTTTTGAGAGAGACAGAGAGCATGAGGAGAGAGGCAGAGAGAGGGAGACACAGAATCTGAAGCAGGCTCCAGGCTCTGAGCTGCCACCACACAGAGCCCGACATGGGGCTCGAACCCACAAACCGTGAGATCATGACCTAAGCCGAAGTCGGACGTTCAACCGACTGAGCCACCCAGGATTCCCAAGGAAACACACATTAAAACCACACTGAGGTATCACTACAAGATAGCTAAAATAAAAGCAAGCGGACACCAAATGCTGGCAAGGATGTGGAGAAACTAGATCACTCACATATTCCTAGTAAGGATATATAAAATGGTAAAGTCACTACAGTAAAGTTTGGCAATTTTTTAAAAAATTCAATATGCTGCAATAACTGTATGACCCAGCCATTCTACTCCTGGACATGTATCCCAGAGAAAGCAAAACATAATCATATAAAAACATGTACCCAAGAACTCACAGAAGCTTTATTTGCATTGGCCCAACACTAGAATCAACTTAGATATCCTTCAAGAAGTAGTTGGTTAAACAAAATGTGGTACATGTTACACCATGGAGTACTTCCTAGCAATAAAAACAAACACACCTGTCATACATGTAGCTGAACCTCCAGGGAATCAGGACAAATAAAAAAACTAATTGCTAGAAATTACAAACCCAAAATGTATGATTCCATTTATGTAACTTTGTTTTCTGAAATGACAAAATATGAAAAATGCAGGACAGATTAGTGGTTGCCAAAATTTGGAAAAGTGGGTAATAAGAGGGAGAGGGATGTGGTTTAAACAAAAAAACAAGAAAAAGGATTCTTGTGTATTTGGAACTTCAGTATCCATTTGTGGTGGATACACAAATGTACACAGGTGATCAAACTGTGTAGAACCTAATACATACATACACACAAATGAGTTCTAAGAAAAACGGGGGAAATCTGAGTAAGTTCCATGGATTGTATCATGGTCTTTTTGTGATATTTCCCTGTAGTTTTGTGAAACATTACCCTGGCAAAGTGTACAGGAATCTTTATTATTCTTAGAGCTGCATGTGACTATACAATTATCTCATAAATTCCACCCCCCACCCCCCAAAAAAGCCACAGGAATAGAAGCAAAAGAGAAAAAACCCATTACCAAATTCTGAAGAACTCTAACATGTAGAAGGCAGGTGAACAAGGAGTTGCTAGCTAAAAAGACTGAGAGGAGGCAGTCAGAAGCCAAGAGAAAAAGGTTTTCAATGTTGCTGAGAAATCAGATAACCAAATAAGATAAAGCCTGAAAAGGGACCCCTGGATTTATCAACATGGAAGATCCTGTTGGCAACAGTAGTTTGGGAGGAATATTAAAAGCCAATGCCAGACTACAGTGTCTGAAGAGTGAGAAGGAAGTGAAGAGTGTGATTATATACATATTGTTCTGGGAGTGTAAGTGGTACAGCCACTTTGGACATCAGTCTGGCATTTCATCAAGAAGTTTAACAGTTACTAGAGGACCTAGTAATTCTACACAGGTATGTATGAAAGAAATGAAAATATATATGCAGACATTTATGTGAATGTTCATAGCAGCATTCTTCATGATAGTCAAGGTAGAAACAACAAATGTCTGGGGCTCCTGGGTAGTTCGGTCAGTTGAGTGCCCGACTTTTGATTATGGCTTGGTCATGGTCTCACAGTTCATGGGTTTGAACTCCACGTCGGGTTCTACACTGGTGGTGCAGGGCCTGCTTGGAATTCTCTCTTCCTCCCCCCACCCCTTTCTCTCTATCTCTGTCCTTCCCCTGCTCTTGCTCTCTCTCAAAATAAATAAACTTTAAAAAGAAAAAAAAAAAGAAACAACAAATGTCCACGGATAAATAAAATGTGGAAATAGCCATGTAATGGAATATTATTTTTCCGTAAAATGGAATTAACTATCAAAATACACTACAGTATAGATGAACTTTAAAAACATTTTGCTAAAGTGAAAGAAGCCAGTCACAGAAGGCTGCATTCTGTATGATTCCATTTACATGAAATGTGCAAAACAGGGAAATCTTTAGAGATGGAAAGGAAATGTGTGGTTGCCAGTAGGTGGGGAGTTGGTGGGTGGGTGGGGGATAAGGAATGGTTGCTAACAGGTACAGAATTTCTTTGGGGAAATGATGAAAATGTTCTGAAATTAGAGAGTGGTAATAGTTACACAACTTCTATGACTTTACTAAAAACCACTGAATTGTGCATTTTAAAAGGTGAGTTTCATCATACGTGAACTGTATCAATAAAGCTGTTATTTAACAAAATGTTTGGCTATTGTAAGAAACAGAGGAATAGGGTAATAGCTAGAAGATGATGGAGGATATAAAATATATGGAACTGATCAATAATCTGATCAGACTCCTATAGTACTTCAACTTTAGCCTGATTGTGAGATTGCAAAGCTCTGCGTTTTATTAGTCTTTCACATTTTGTAGTTCTTCCCAAGTCAGCCAGTAAATCCTCTCCATCACTCAACTGTTGACTATGAAGACCAAGTCACTGTGATTTTGCTTCAAATCAGCATTCACCTTCCATTCATCTTTCCATTCCTACGGTACCATTTTATGTTGTCCTTACTTCACTCTAAGGGCCATCAGCTCTTAACTAGCCTTGCATTCTTCTAGGCTTTGGGAACACAATCTGTCTTCTTCCACTGTTCCTATATTTCTAAAACATTATCTTTCATATATTTTCCTGTTCCTGAACCAGCTACTGAGAGATAAATTCGGTATCCATGGGTAAGAGTTTCCTTACCGGGGGGGAAGAAAATGAAAACAAGCAACAAACAAAAACAAACAAAAAACCCTGTAACCACTCCATAATCCTAAACAACAACAAGTTATTTTGTCAGCACAATTTCATACAACTCTTCTGTATGAATTCTACTTATCTTGTTTTGTAGCTCAAACCTGTCTGGTATGCTATAAATATATCATGCTCTTTCTTAGATATGTGATTGTGTTTATTTTTTATCTATGTAGATAATTTTCCTTCAACCTCTACTGGTAGACCAAACTCAATATGAATATCAACTCACTCATATGTCAATGCCCACCTGAGATACCACCTACTTGACAAGTCTTCCCAGATCACTACTGTTGGAGGCAACTCCCTTTTCCTTTAACCTCAGAGAACTCAAGTCCACACTTCGCATTTGCCAATCATTGAAGTACTTTAATATTTTTAAATATTAATAATATTTATAATATCCTTTTATACTGCTTGCTTTTGTATAACGGAAAAAACATTTTACTAGATTTGTTTGGATAAATAACAAGCTGACTTATTATTCATTTATTCTTTTGTATAATGGGAGAATAATATCATTATAGCAAAAAGCAATGAAGAGAAACTATAACAGATTTTTAAATAGAAAATGGTATTTTTCAACTTCATGTGTTTGCCTCCACAACTAGGTGGTAAACTACTTAAAATCATAAATTCTTAAAACTCTTTAAGATTTCTCACAACAAACTAAAAAATCTGCTGGTCAAGGTTAGAGCAGATTTCAAAATGATCTGATAAGAATATTTTATACATTTATCCTGAATTTACAAAATTTTTTCAAATCTTTTCCTTAATCATTTATAGTCATCCTTATTTCTTAATCTACATTAAACTATTACTGTATCAACAATAGCAATGATCAAAGTAAGGACTGGATATTTTTAATTCTTATCAGCATAATTGCATTACCTCACAAGGCTGAATTAGTCAACTGAACATTTCATAATTCCCAAATTAGTATATATATTTTTAAGTTTATTTATTTATTTTGAGAAAGAGAAAGACTATGGAAGAGAGGCAGAGAGAGAATCGCAAGTAGGCCCCACACTGTCAGTGTGGAGCCCAATGTGGAGCTCACACTCAACTGTGAGATCATGACCTGAGCTGAAGTCAAGAGTCGGACGCTTAACCGACCAAGCCACCCAGGTGCCCTCAAATTAGTATTAATTGCTCCTAACTTAACAACCTATAGAACATTTCATAACCAACCCTGGTACCACTTCTCATCTTTTCCCATCCTTTATATGACTTCTAATCACAAAAAAAAGTAATATAAGCTTCAATAAAAATGAATGACAATTATATTCTACCAAACTGAAACCACCACCTTTAGAAGGAATTAGATGGCTAGCTCCATAGGTCCATGAGATTTTCTGTGATTATTTCTGGGAATATAGGCTTGTGGGAATCATTCTCTAATCTTAACTTTCTCTAAATCCTCAATCACAATTTATATTTGAAAAACACTTGCCTTCTTATTGTGTAACTTTTGTATTCTTTTGTATACAAAAAGGGAACATTAAAAACTCTTACTTATAAATAGCACATTGGTTTATAACCAATGGTTTTCAAATGATGGTTTCCAGCCTAGCAACAAGAGCTTCACCTGAAACCATCTTAGAAATACAGAAATGCAAATTCTCAGCTTTTCCCCACCCCTAGACCTAGTGAATCAGAAACCTTGGAATATAGCCTAGCATTCTGGACCTCCTATCACTTAACTATCCCCTCCAAATAATTCTGATGCACACTTTCCAAAGAAAATAATTACTTAAACTTACCCTCCTGAGAGAACGGGTAACACCACTCGAACAAATGGAGGATCAAATGGAAAATTATCCTAAAAAGCAAATAATCAAGTTTAATTACTTTTAAGAAAATCCTTAATATTCTATTTATTTTGAAGATTTTTATATAAAGAATGTGTACATTTATTATCTGACGAGGGTCATAAAAGTAAAAGTAGTACCAAAAGTAAAATGAAGTAAAAACCAAAGAAAATAAAAATGAAGATCAGGCCCAAACAGAACAGTGTTCTGGTAAAGTTATGAAAATTATGAAGGGGTTCCACTTCCAAAAGAACTATATAAAGGAACCATTCCAATAGTGATAGATTAGGTAACTTAGATCAATCCTCTAGCTGAGAACTAGAGGAGGTAGACAAAATGTAACTATTACAGAGCTAAGATCAAGAAGGGAACCTCTGAGTGGGACCCATCCTCCCCCTGCCTTGAGTTTTCTTTCAATTACACAAAAGGAAGATGAGAGGTCAAAAAGCTCAGCAGAACTTAAGACTCACAGGGCTAGGGATAAAAATTGGAGCTGGGGTCCAAGGAGAGGCCTGGACAAGTCCCCCACACTTTAGGTCCCAGCTGGGACCCTGAAGGACAAATGACACATTGCCCCAACTGACAAGGAATGAAGTCCAGCTTTGTGTCACCTCAATCCCTGAATAGATTCTGTGATCTTGGGTTGCTAGTGTCCAAGCCCAACAGGAGCAAATGTGAACCCTCTTTGGAGAAGAATATCACTCAAGCCTTCAAATTAGCAAATTTTTCATAATAATGTTTGTCACACAAGACTTAAAAACAAACATGTCCAGAAAATGAGAAGCAAATACACAAAACCCACAAGAGATCAAGATAATAGAATAAAAGACATAGATTTTAAAATAAACCTGTTGAATACATGCAAGGAAAGAAAACACAAGATTGAAAACCCTGACAAAGAACTAAAATTATAAAATGAACCTTACAGAAATTCTGAAACATAGAAATACAATAACTGAAATCAATAATGTAACAGATGAATTTGACCACAATAGAGACTTTAGTGAAGAAGAAATTCAGTATACAGGAAAATAGGCCAGAAAACATCCAGAATGAAGCCAAGAGAGAAAATATGTCCAAAATAACAAGACACGGGAACGTATTAAAAGGCTTATTATATATGTGGAGTCCTAGAAGGAGACAAAAGAATGGGACAGAAGCAGTTATTTGGAGAGAATGTCTGAGAATTTTCCAAAATAGATTAAACACTTCGTAAGATTGAAGCACTGCATCTATTTCAAGAAAAACAATGGAAACCCCAATGAGGGCATGGTAAATCTTTGAGTTGCTGAAAGGAATTTCCAACTGAAAAATCTACACCCAGTACAAATACTTCCAAAAATGAAATCACACTAAAGTTATTTTCCCGTTAGCAGACACAAGCTGAAGGAAATATTAAAGGATATTCTTTAGGCAGGAGAAACATGATCCTAGATGGAAATGTGGACACTGAAGACCATGAAAAGAATAAATATGCACATAGATGTAAATGAATATTGACTATATAACAATAAAGTGTAGTTTTTAGCTAAGTACAGAAAATGCATGAGTGCACATGTTTGGCAGGGAATCCATGTTCTAAGTTTTTGCATTGATAAGGAAAAGTAAAATATAAATTAACAAACATATTAGACTTAGACAAAAAGATACACTGTAATTGTAAGGGAGTAAAGAAGAGTAAGAGAACACATACCCAGGAAGCTGAAAGAGAAGAGAAACTGGAGTAATTAAAAAAAAACTAAAAAGAATGAGAAAAAGAAACATAGAATAACAATGACAAACAGAAAGCACTTATGACACAGGAGATATGAACCCTAATAGCAGTAATAGATTATATGCAAATAGACTTAGTGCTCTAATTAAATGACAAAAATCATCAGGCTTGATAAAAATATATGAAGATAAGAGAAAAGAAACCTCAGCTAATCCTCAGGCTACCAAGCACAATTTTTTTTTTTTCAAATTCTCAGTCCTGGTAACACCCTTCCAGAAGAACAAGAGCTTTCTCTCTCTTTTTTTTTTTTTAATTTTACAAATAGTTTATTGTCAAATTGGGTTCCATATAACACCCAGTGCTCATCCCCACAACTGCCCTCCTCCCTGCCCATCTCCCCCTTCCCCCCCAACTCCCATCCATTCTCAGTTTGTTCTCAGCATTCAAGTCTCTTATGGTTGGGGGCGCCTGGGTGGCTTAGTCGGTTAAGTGTCCGACTTTCGCTTAGGTCATGATCTCGCGGTTCGTGGGTTCCAGCCCCGCGTCGGGCTCTGTGCTGACTGCCAGCTCTGAGCCTGGAGCCTGTTTCAGAGTCTGTGACTCCCTCTCTCTCTGACCCTCCCCTGCTCACGCTGTCTCTCTCTCTCTCTCCTAGAAATAAATAAAAATATTAAAAAAGAAAAAAAAAAAAAGAGTCTCTCATGGTTTGCCTCTCTCCCTTTCCCCCACCATTTCCCCCCTTCTTCTCCCCCATGGTCCTCAGTTAAGTTCCTCCTAATCCTCCTATATGTGCAAACATATGATATTTGTCCTTCTCTGCCTGACTTATTTCGCTCAGCATAACACCCTCAAGGTCCATCCATGTTGCTACACATGGCCAGATTTCATTGTTTCTCATTGCCATGTAGTATTCCATGGTATAGATAAACCACATCTTCTTGATCCATTCGTCCGTTGATGGACACTTAGGCTCTTTCCATGTTTTGGCTATTGTTGAAAGTGCTGCTATGAACATTGGGATACACGTGCTCCTATGCATCAGCACTCCTGTATCCCTTGGGTAAATTCCTAGCAGTGCTATTGCTGGGTCATAGGGTAGTTCTAGTGTTAGTCTCCTTAGGAACCTCCACACTGTTTTCCAGAGGGGCTGCACCAGTCTACATTCCCACCAACAGTGTAGGAGGGTGCCCGTTTCTCCACATCCTCGCCAGCATCTAGAGTTCTCTGATTTGCTCATTTCAGCCACTCTGACCGGCATGAGGTGGTATCTCAGTGTGGTTTTGATTTGTATTTCCCTGATGAGGAGGGATGCTGAGCATCGTTTCATGTTGGCCATCTGGATGTCCTCTTTGGAGATGTGTCTGTTCATATCTTCTGCCCATTTCTTCACTGGGTTGTTTGTTTTTCGGGTGTGGAGTTTGGTGAGTTCCTTATAGATTTTGGATATTAACCGTTTATCTGATATGTCATTTGCAACTATCTTTTCCCACTCCGTTGGCTGCCTATTAGTTTTGTGGGTTGTTGCCTTTGCTGTGCAGAAGCTTTTAATCTTGATGAGGTCCCAATCGTTTATTTTTAAGAGCTTTTTCTCTTAATGAACTTATGCAACAATGGTAGCTGAAGTGGCCAAGAGCATTAGAAGTCAATCTCTGTGTGGCCAGAGAGCCAAGAAGGCTGCCCCTCATTTTCCTACAGCAGTGGGGTAGGGAAAAAGCATACTGCCTCTAATAAAGATATGATGGGATGTCTAAGAGAAATTATCTCCAATTTTATGGTCAAATAAAACAACTAATTGACTCTTAAACCAATTTGAGGGTAAAGGAGCTAAACTAAACAAACATTTGTCTTGTTCAGTTATTTCCAAGGAACACAAAAATACAGTTTTACTATTAGAATAAGCAGCATAAGTCCAGTAATTTACTTTAACTCCCTACTTCCACCCATCCTCAAGTAAGTCTCTAAGAAACATTTTAACTATGAAAACCGAATACTAATTAATAGGAGAGGAAGACAAATAGCACATTTCTGGTGGCTTTCTTAGCTTTCTACTGCAAGGGAGAATCTACCCACACAAGAAACCAACCTAATGATAATTGTTATTATATTCTACTTCCAAATAAGTACCTCACCATTTGGAGGTTCTATAAGGTTCACTTAATAGATATAATGAAAGGCATGGATGCAAAGCTTGATAAGGAACAACTTCGTTTAGATCTTTATATATGTGATCCTAAATGATAAAGGGATGCCTGGGTGGCTCAGTCAGTTAAACATCTGACTTCGGCTCAGGTCATGATCTCATGGCTTGTGGGTTCAAGCCCTGGGTAGGGCTCTGTGCTGACAGCTCGGAGCCTGGAGCCTGCTTCGGAATCTGTGTCTCCCTCTCTCTCTGCCCCTCCCCCACTTGTGCTCGGTCTCAAAAATAACTAAACATTAAAAAAACCAATAATTAAAAAAATAAATATGTGATCCTAAATGATAAAGCTTTTTAAATTGATTGTGTGGCAGTGAGAAATACTTTCATTTTATTTATTTTTTAATGTTTATTTATTTCTGAAAGATAGAGAGACAGAGCACAAGCAGGGGAGGGGAAGAGAGAGGGAGACACAGAATCCGAACCAGGCTCCAGGCTCCGAGCTAGCTGTCAGCCCAGAGCCCCGATATGGGGCCTGAACCCACGAGTCATGATCATGACCTAAGCTGAAGTCAGATGCTTAACTGACTGAGCCACCCAGGCGCCCCGAAATACTTTAAGTAATTCTTCAGAGTAACTCCTCTGCATCAAAACCTAGGGACTATTCCATAACCTCTATACCCTGGAACTCAGTAATCAATATTTTACAGAATAAGAGTTCCTTAAAGGATTATAGCAGAGAGGTTGAGGATGACATAAAAAAGAAATTTGAGTTGTTTTGGTACACTAACTCAGAAACTGAGAATCTCAAGGTTTACAAGGATCTCATGAAGTTTCCAATTCAGTATCTTGGCTTTCCAACATATTATTTTTTTATTTTTTAAGATTTATTTTTGAGAGACAGAGAGAGACAGACAGACAGACAGAGTGCTAGTGGGGGAGGGGCATAGAGAGAGGAAGACACAGAATGTGAGGCAGGCTCCAGGCTCTGAGCTGTAAGCACAGAGCCTGATGCAGGGCCTGAACCCACAAACCATAAGATCATTATCTGAGCTAAAGCAGGATGCTTAACCAACAAAGCCACCCAGGTGCCCCCTTCCAACATATTCTTAATGAGAAGGAACATCCTATACTTTTTATTTATTTATTTATTTATTTATTTATTTATTTATTTATTTAGAGAGTGCAAGTAGGGGGTAGGGATGGGACAGGAGGGGCAGGGCAGGCAGAGAGAAAGAGAGAGAGAGAATCCCAAGCAGGCACCATGCTGCCAGCACAGAGCCCAACACAGGGCTCTCCCATGAACTATGAGATCATGACCTGAGATGACAGCAAGAGTCAGACACTCAACTGACAGAGCCACCCAGGTGCCCCAGAAACATTCTATTCTCAAATTCTTGAAAGCCTGTTTCCAGATGGCTCTACATAGTTATCACTTGAAAATCATCTCCTTAGAGTTTGAGTTACTAGTTCTAATGTCTATTAAACAAAACAAAATCAAACTATCAAATTAACAAAGTGTCAATTGAAAAACAAAATCAAACTAAAGCTTCCATACATAGTCCTTTAAATAGTTGAGGACAAGCTCTCATGAGCCCCTATGTCCTCTCCAAATCCACAATTTGACCAGCTAACTTACGACATAAAAATATCTTTCAAATCCTTGCAGCTATTCTCTATATGAATCCAAATCTATCTAAATAAACCCTTCTTAAAATAGTACCTCAGAATTCAGCTCAGTGATTTAGGTATGGCTTTAAAAACCAGACCACCACTCCCTTAAAAGCACAGCATAAGATTTGCCATGTTGGTGACAAATCTAATTGGTCCCCATTTTCTCTCCTGCCCCTATCCCCAACCTTATGTTATAGCTCAAGTTCCATTTTATTATGCATGGCCTTCAAGTTGTCACCATGGACATCTAAGGCATGGACATAAATACTGTACATGCTCCTTCTCATAAATCTTTCTTTCTGAGTAATACCTGCTATCCTTCAAAGTCTGTGAATCCTGATACTGATAACTTGGCAATTCAGTTGCCAACATCACTTAGTTCAGAGCAATCACATTCTTCCCAGGCCTCTTAAGAAATACTTCAGGCCTTGGGGCGCCCGGGTGGCTCAGCTTAAAGCGTCCAACTTCGGCTCAGGTCATGATCTTGTGTTTGGAGCTCCATATCAGGTTGTGCTGAAGTTCCAAGCCTGGAGCCTGCTTCAGATTCTGTCTCTCTCTCTCTCTCTGCCCCTCCCCACTCATGTTCTTTCTCTCTCTGTCTCTTGAAAATAATTATTTAAAAAAAAAAAGGAACTACTTCAGACCTAACAAAGGCCCTTCTTTCTGGTATCAAGAGCCATGGTCCAGAAAGACAAATCCAACAGAATTTCAGCCATTTACCTCCCAGATTGTCCCATCCCTGAAGGTCTACCTAGAGCAGGAAAGTATCATGAAAACATTAACTGCAGCCACAAATCTTTCAGTTTACTGGTCAAGATTTCATATTCCCTTAAGATACCTCTCCAGGAGGAAGTAAGAGGGAAAGAACACACAGAGGGCTTTCAAAGGTACTGCTTAAGAAGAAGAAGAAAGAAGAAATAGACAATTTTTTAAAACATAATTGATGCAACTTACATTATTTCAGGTATAAAGTTCTATTTCTTTCTTTTTTTTTTAAATGTCTTTATTTTTGAGAGAATGCGCATTAAGCCAGTGGGGGAGGGGCAGAGAGAAAGGGAGACAGGATCTGAAGTGGGCTCTGTACTGACTGACAGCAGGGAACAGGATGAGGGTGGGGCAGGGCTCAAACTCATGAACCATGACATCATGACCTGAACCAAAGTCAACACAACCTACTGAGCCACCCAGGTGCCCCTATAAGATTCTATTTCTTAAGCTTGGTGTTGGACATCTGGGCTCATGATTTAATATGATTATTTATGGATTGTTCATGTTAAAACACTCTGTATATATTTTAAAAAAGGGGGGCGCCTGGATGGCTCAGTCAGTTAAACATGCAACTTTGGTTCAGGTCATGATCTCAGAGTTGGGGGGTTGGAGCCCCACTTGGGCTCTGTGCTGAAGACTGGGGCCTGGACCTTGTTTGCTTTGGGTTCTATGTGTGTGTCTCTCTCTGCTCTTCCCACATTCATGATCTCTCTATCTCTCTCTCTCAAAAATAAACATTTTTAGGGGCGCCTGGGTGGCTTAGTCGGCTAAGTGTCCAACTTTCGCTTAGGTCATGATCTCACGGTTGGTGGGTTCCGGCTCCGCGTCAGGCTCTGTCCTGACTGCCAGCTCAGAGCCTGGAGCATGTTTCAGAGTCTGTGACTCCCTCTCTCTCTGACCCTCCCCTGCTCACGCTGTCTCTCTCTCCTAGAAATAAATAAAACATTTAAAAAAATAAATAAACATTTTTAAAAATTAGGAAAAAAAAAAGAAAAGCACTACTTTCCTGGTTTATTTTTTCACCTTATGAATAATTGAAAATGCAGTCATTAGCAACTTCAGTAAATATACCAGATTCACTTTCTAGGAAGACAACGCAATTGACAACTACAAAAGTTTCTATATTAACAAAATTGAGGGAATATATCTGAGTTATTTGAAGAAAGTTCAATCATAAATGAAGATACGGGGCGCCTTGGTGGCTCAGTCAGTTGAGCGTCTGACTTCAGCTCAGGTCATGATCCTGCACTTTGTGGGTTCGAGCCCTGCACTGGGCTCTGTGCTGACAGCTCAGAGCCTGGAGCCTGCTTCTGTCTCTCCCTCTCTCTCTGCCCCTTCCCCACTCTGTCTCCCAAAAATAAATAAAAGTTTAAAAAATAAATTAAGTAAATGAAGATATATCCCCAAAAATGTATATACACAAAAGCTAAGTAAAAAGTTCAAAAAATTACTTTTTGCAAGTATGTTCTGTCATGTCTTTGCTTTCTTTCTTCAAAACCCCTCATATCCATCTACTTTCACCTATGTCTACTACCATCATTCTTCATTACTCCTTGCCCAGATTAAAATTAAAGCCCCAGTAGTCTCCCAAAAATCTACCCTCTCCTATCTGATGCTGAAGACATTATGTCTTCATAAACTGTTTAAAAATAATAATAATAAAAAGCCTAACAGACCAATCATGCCCCTACCTAAAAACCTCTACTGGTTCTTTAGTGTCTAAAGGTTAAGATCCCAGACTCTTCATCATGGTCTCCAAAGCAGTACAGCCTTCATTACCGATTTCTCCCTCGGAAGACTGCAGGCTCTTGCAGGCATTATATTTTAGATGCCTCCATGTCCTCAAGCCTTCTATAGCCCCTCTACAGTCCCTAATGCACTAAAGTCTACCTAAGTGAAATGGAAAAATATACATATCCGTAAATTTTTTCCCAATTTAAAAGAACACAGCAAAAAGAGGCTCTATATAATTCAAATATAACTCCTTAGAAACACACGTCATAGTTTTTTTTTTTGAAACAAAAGATTTAAAGCTACATTTATCCATATTCCATATTGAATCATCATATTTTAGCTAAATTCTATTGCTATTCTTCATTAACCTTTACTCTTATCATTTAAAGAAAGGTATTAAATATAACACATAAATTTAGAAAAGTATGTAACGTATAAAAGTATGCCATTATATATTATAAAATATGCATGCATGTAATCACAACCCTGGTCAAGAAACAGACTAGAGCCAGTATCCAAGAAGTCACAAGAAGTCCCTTTCCGCTTACAAGTCCATCTCTCTCACCTAGATTTACTCCCTGTCTTCAACTGTATGGTAATCACATCTTTGCTTTTCTTGGTAGTAATTACTCAAGTTTGAATCCAAAAATCTGTGTTTTTCAACCTTTTTAATTTCTGCTCCACTAACAAGGCTTTTTAGAAAATTATTTTTCTGAATCTACCCTCCACCACAGACATACTGGGTTAACAGTTTATATAATATCACCCCTTAAAGGACAACAGACCACTGTAATATCTAAGACTTTTTTTTCACTCCAAGGACCAGTTTTCAACCCACTGGTGGGGATATTGCCTCCACTGAGAAGGCATGCCCTAAACAATTTAGTTTTACCTATTTTTGAGCTCACTATAAATGAGATTGTACAAAACTTGTTTGGGGGCCTGGCTTCTTTGGCTCAACATTGTGTTTAAGATTTACTCATCTTTTTGCACATAGCTCTATTACTTTTTATATGAATACTACCATATTCCCTTCTACTGAAACATACTTGGGTTATTTTCTGTTTCTGTTCTGTTCAGTTTGAGTACCTAAGTACTCATTTCTTGCAGGATATGTATATATAGATATGTGTGTGTGTGTGTGTGTGTGTGTGTGTATATGAGGGGAATTCTTGAATCACAAGGAGTGAATACCTTCCACTTTACCAAATAATCCCTAATTGTTTTCCCAAAGCAATTATAAAATATACATTTCCATTAGAAGTATATGGAGTCTCCTTAAAATTTTCTTACCTTAAAAGAGAAGTTAAGCAAAATATATTCTATGCCTTCTTTTTCTTTTAGGATCTGAAGATCACTGTGCAAAGGACTATCAGGATCGACCCTAAGAATTATATAACAAACAATTAAAATAAGAAGTCCAAAGATTTTTTCTTACTAACCACAAAAATGAACCAGTTCAAGAGCTAAACAGAGCCCCTAGATAAGTTTCAAACATAAACTTGCTCTATGGTCCCTGGAAAAATAAACGCAATAGGTTCCAACTCCCTGGGATTAAATGTCCAAAAAGATTACGGTATTCTAAATCCATTCCCATAAGGGGATTCGAAGTTAGCGGTCATTCTAAAGGAAAGTCATATGTACATAAATTTCCTCAAGAACTAAAAAAAAAATTAATCTGCTTCTCTAAAATTGTACTATTATTAGCCAAGGGGTTCAAGGAGAGAAAAATTATCACAGACAAGCGCCAAAAAAGTGAAATTGCTAACAAAATCTAAATTTGTCTACAACTGATTCTACATACTCAGGGCCTACTCAAATTCCTCATTTCAAATATAAACTGGTTATCATAATCAGGTTATTAAATTCACTTTTGTTTCTATAGTTCCCAATTTATCTCACTAACTCCATGAAACACTTTATCCCATAGCAAGTCCTTCTTTTTCTCCTTCCACTTCCTCACTTTACTTATTTAAGCCTAAGAAACAGCTCATCTCAACAACATGAGAACTATTTCTAAAGAAACACAGTCTAAAGTTCTAAGTAAAAACCATATTTTATTTTAAATGATTTTTTTTTAATGTTTTATTTATTTCTAGGAGAGAGAGAGAGAGACAGCGTGAGCAGGGGAGGGTCAGAGAGAGAGGGAGTCACAGACTGAAACAGGCTCCAGGCTCTGAGCTGGCAGTCAGCACAGAGCCCGACACGGGGCTCGAACCCACCAACCGCGAGATCATGACCTGAGCGAAAGTCGGACGCTTAGCCGACTAAGCCACCCAGGTGCCCCGTAAAAACCATATTTTAGAGTATCAAATTAAGGGAGAAAAAAGTCTCCATTGTGTAAGCCTATTTTTACAAAGACTGGATTAGCATATAAGAGTCACTTACTTCTGCAGTTTAACATGCCAGTCATATAAACTGTCATTTATGAGTTCCACTGAATAAATCCCTGTAAAGATATAGACCATATAAGTTACTCGGTCTTTGATCTTATAAGTCCGCTTATTTGATCTTATAAGTACCACTTTGGTATAAATGAACACACTAAGTAACCATCAAAATCTAGAAATTTTGCTATTAAAACATGGAACAACTAAGCTGTACTGTAAATATTTTGCCACTGAGTTGAGTATCTTATACTCTCAATATATAATTAAAGCCCCCAATGAAGAGGATTCTTTAATGAGTTGACAAACTGTTTACCGTTAACTATGAATGGGAGGGGGGAAAATTATGCATAAATCATGTGTACTTTAAAATTCTTCTATACACATGCAATTAGTTCTATAAAAATGAAACCCCTCTATAGTTTTAAAAACTTTCTTCAACTTTCCAGGGCATCTTTCCAACTTAGTCTATAAGAAGTCTACGGTCAATCTTTAAATAACTCTATAGAAATTTAATGGATATGCCATAATTTAACCAATTCCACCCTATATCTGATTATTAAGTTTTAATTTGCGACTACAAACAATGCTATAGCAAACAAGGAATTATTTAACATTTAAAAATAAACCCAGATTCAGATATTTAACTGTACTTGAACAAGTAAACTCATCTTATTCCACCTTCCACATCTTGTGATAACTTGATTAAATCTGCATTTAAAATCCCTAATACAAAGTTCATAACCACTTCCGTGCCTGTCCAGTTATATTATGAGAACTGAAAGTTACTGTTTGAAACTTAACAACATAGGGGCAATAGACCCAAGGATCCTTACCTGCTTTATAACTCTGTGATCTGTATATGTCCCTGAGCTCTTTCATAAGCCTATCTGAAGCTTGCACAGACCCAGATACTGCACCCTGAAACAGAAAAATTGCTGTTTACCAAGATCTATAGAGTCCAATAACTGAAGATTTCAGGTACATAAGCCTGAAAATTTAAAATGAGATTTATAAAAATACATCAGCACCCAACATTTTAAAAACTCAAAGAAGCTAAATAATTATAAAGGATTATAAAGTTTCAACAGGAAAATAAAATTAGGGGACAAGTCTGGCTCATTTACTGTTTAAAAAAAAAAAAAATGTCTAACCAACCTGTCTAGATCACTATGGCTCCTGAAGTAGCCTAGAACTTAGTATAACCTATTTCAAATTCTACTGATTTTTTAAAATATTAATGTTTTTCTTTTTTTGAATTTTATTTTTTTAGAGCACTTTTAGAATCACAGCAAAACTGAAAGAAAGGTCCAGAGATTTACCATATAATTGTCCCCACAATGTATAGTCTCCGTTATTATCAATATCCTTTACCAGAAGATACACTGCTTTTTTTTTTTTTTTTAAGCTTATTTATTTGGAGAAAAAGCAGGATCAAGCAACCTCTGCACTGCCAGTGGAGATGCTGACACAGGGCTCTGTCTCACGACCATGAGATTATAACCTGAGCCAAAATCAAGAGCTGGATGCTCAACTGTGAGCCAGCCAGGCACCCCCAGAAGGTACATTTCTTAAATTGATGAATCGATTAACACATCATTATCACTGAAATCCATAATTTACCTGAAGGTTCACTTTCAGTTTTGTACACTATATGGGTTTGGAAAATGTATAACGACACATATCCATCATTTCAGTATCACACAACGTATTTTCATTTCCCTAAAAATCCTCTGTGCTCTGCCTATTTATCCCTCCACCACATCTCTGGCAAGCACGGATCTTTTTATGGTCTCCACATTGTTGCCTTTTCCAGAATATCATACAATTAGAAACATACAATTATGTAGCCTTTTCATCAGATTGGCTTCTATCACTTAGTAATATGGATTTAAAGCTCCTCCGTGTCTTTTCATGGTTTGACAGCTCATTTCTTTTTTTTAGCAGGGAATAATATTCCATATTGTCTGGATGTACCAGTTTATTGATTAACCTACTGAAGGATATCCTAGTTGCTTCCAAGTTTTGGCAATCGTGAATAAAGCTGCTATAAACATCCAGTATGCAGGTTTTTGTCTGGACAGAAGTCTTCAATTCATTTGGGTAATACCAAAGACTTCAACTGCTGGAATATATGGTAAAAGTTATGTTCAGTGTTGTAAGAATCTGCCAGACTGTCTTCAAAAGTGGCTGTACCATTTAACATTCCCATCAGCAATGAGTGAGAGTTCCTGTTGCTTCACACCCTCATCAGCATTTGGTATTGTCAGTGTTCCTGATTTTGGCCATTCTTTTTTTCATTTTGACTATTTTATAGGCATGTCAGCTCACCAGCAAATTCTGAAAATACTAGAAGACCCTTCCCATTTTAGACTATCAACTAAAACAGTTTCATTAGTCTGACTATAAGCAAAAACGTTACACTGAAGGTCTACTTTACATTAAGAAACTGAGAAATAACATGTTCACCTGCAGCTAGTTTCAGTTCTCTTCCATGTTGAGATTTCTCTAAAAATGAAACTGCACCAATATGTTATCCTAAGACTAAATAGGAATGCAACAACTTCTCATAAGACAAAAGCATTTGGAATTCCTTAGTTAAAAAAATATACTGATCATGTAAAATTTAAATGTTAATAGCACCACGCCTTGGGGAACGGGTGGCAATCAGGTTCACAAAGTTATTACTTCTTACATTCTTTAACTTGTTTAAGCCCTAGTTTCACACCTATAGAATAGGAAGAATATTTTACGAGTGGCTATAAAGGTTAAATGGGAAGGTTTATAAAGTTTAAAGTACTTAGCTTAGTGTCTCTCGTATGAAAACATTCAAAAAATTATAATTGCTTTGATTATAATATACAAACTGAAAGCAATCACAAGATACAGAAAGTATAGTAATCTTAATTTAAATGGCACAAACTTTTTTTTAAAAAAAATAATCAAGATAAGGGTTGGGCTAAATTTCTTTGCTCTCTTAAAAAAAAAGACTTGCCAATTAAATTAATAGTGTAAGACTGAAGGAGAGCGAATAATTCATCTGCTTACAATACTTGGCATTTCCCTACATAATTAATTCCCTGTTTTTGAGAACCTGTGCCCAAGAAAAAGGTCTTTCTGAGACAGATGTCATAGGTTTGGTAAATAGCTCTAATACAAAGAAGTAAGTGTTAAATGGCTAGACTCCTATGTTTCCCTACTTTGGGCGTTTTAATGTATCATTCTCACTTATTCTCCTCAGTAATCATCCAAAAGGTATGTATTATCTACACTTTAGAGTGGAGGAAACTGAAGCCACACAGCTGTGTTTGTTACCAACTCAGTGTTCATTCACTCTATACCCCATGCCACTGCACATAAAAGAGATGTTAGGTCAAAAGAAAAAAATACTTTTGGTTTGGTTAGAGCAGGATAGACCAGATGGCAGTTCTGTGGAGAAGAATTTAAACTGTACTCTATTTGTAGAAAACACTAAATATAAATACATACATCTCATAGAAGGGTAAGCGGTATAAACGGGCTGGAAAGGGAGTACATATAGTGAACAGCAAGTTAATTCCAGCATGTAAAAAGCAGATGAACATGGTAGAGAGCTATCAACAGATGAGAAACTTCAACCACCACCACCCACAAAGGCAACAAAACATGGCTGAATCCACAACACAGGCAAGAGGGGATGAGGGTAGCTTAGACTGGTAGCTTAATGAATTGTCCTTGTTTATATTATTACCTATACTTAGTTAATCCCAAAAGTGCAGGTTCTGTATATTTGCAAATACGTACTTTGAGATGGTCTTGCCTTTGAGTCTTCCTAATTTTCTCTAATATTGCCAAGTTTTCTTTTTCAATTCCTTCATCCTCTGACTTTTTTCCACTAATAGGCTCTTCTTCCTTCATCTCATAGTGATCCAAATCTTCTATGTCCTACAAAGAGAAGAAAAATATTAGCTTATTGAAGCTTATACCAAAAGTTAAATTACTCTTCACTCAACAGAATAAGCAAATGGAAAGGGGAAAAAAAACCCATCACATTCAATTCAGAAGGTTCCATCTTTTCATATCCTACATTTTAAGAGCTAGAATCTGAGTAAAGCATATTTAATACTTTTATAAAGCCATAACTCTTACTAAATAAATCTCCTATTAAAAGAAACTTTTGCAACAGTTTAGCATTAGGTATCAAGAACCTTATTTATACTTTGTTCCAGTAATCGACTTCTAGAAATCTACTGTAAGGAGCTAATTTAAAATGTGAACATTGACTTAGGCATAAAGATGCCCATTTAAACTTTATAGCTGCAAACCCCTCCATAAAACTCAATGTGCAAAAATGCCAGAGCAGGTACCTCAATTCCACAAAATATAAGAAGACCATTGAAACGTCAACATAGCATAATTGTTTCTTCTTTATCAATAATGAAACAAAAGGGCAGTGAGGATGGCAGTGAGCCAATCCCTGATTCCTTGGTGGGGGGGAGGGGGATGGCTGGACACTATGGGCACCAGGTTCTGTGCTCAGGCTCCACCTGTTGCTTCTGGCTACTGCTCTGGCCTTGCCCCAGACCTGGGGTGAGCCGGGGGACTAGGTACCCTTGGTGACCATAGGGACCGTGCTAGTTAGAGCTGTGCTGTCCAACAGAGCACTCTCTTGTTTCTTGTGGCTGCTGAGCACTTGGAATGTGGCCAGTCTGAACAGAGGTATGCCTTAAGTTTACAGTCCATACCAGATTTGGAGACTTAGTTAGAAAAATAAAGAACTCATTATGTTGTTTTATATCAATTATGTTGAAATGATAATAATTTGAACAGACTAGGTTAAAAAACATATTAAATGGAAAAAGTAATGCAATGAAAAAGCATACAAAACTGAATATATATGGGGCACCTGGGTGGCTCAGTCAGTTAGGTGACCCAACTGTTGATTTTGTCTCAGGTAATGATCTCACACTATGTGGGATCAAGCCCTGTGTCGGGCTTGTAGCATGGAGCCTTCTTGGGGTTCTCTCTCTGTCCCTCTCTTGCTCACGCTCTCTCTCAAAATAAATAAACTTAAAAAATGAAAAACTGAATATAAATCTCAATTATGCTAAGATAAACAGAAAAAACAGATTAGGACATAACTGAAATAATAATGGTTATTTCTAGAGATATTTAGCACTTTTCCTTTTTTTCCAAATTATCTACAGTAAGCAACTACTGACTTTTATAATTAGGAAAAATTTAGATTAAGAATTTGAATAATATCCCTTGGTTAATCCCTACATCACTACTCTCCTCCCTCCCTTCCCATATCATCTATTCTTAAATCTATGCAGAACTTTTAAAATCCTAACCTTTTTCTATTATTTTCTCTTTAAATCATCAAAATCTTCTAAAGGAGTAGCTGACACTTATTACCTCCACTTTTTTTTTTTTAAGTTTATTTATTTGAGAGAGAGGGGGGAAGAGAGAGAGTGCTTAAGTGCCAGGAAGGAGCAGAGAGAGAGAGAGAGAGAGAGAGAGAGAGAGAATCCCAAGCAGATTCCATCCACAGTCAGCGTGGAGCTCGACTCAGGACTTGGGACTTGGAACCTATGAACGGTGAGATCATGACCTGAGTGGAAATCAAGAGTGTGACACTTAACGGCTACAACACCTAGGCGTCCCACTATCTCCATTATTGTAGGCAAACTAACTCATTTTGATTTGTAGACCGGTTAAAGATCACCTCCATCCAGATTCGATGGTGTTTTTCGTAGACTCATCTTTTCAACCCCTATTATTACATTCCTTTCTTATTCAGACTCTGTCCATCACTCCATGTTTTGTGGAATGCCCTCCCCATGAAAGGTTTGCACTTTTCAGCCCCAATGTTCCATCCATCCCACACTTATTTTCTTCAGAGTTCTCACAAATGTCCTTAAATCTGTATCTCCTCCTCTATCTTCAAAGTCAGCCACATTCCTATCCATAAATCTTCTCCACTTGAGTATTAACGATGAATTCTGTTCTGTGTGGATTATCCTTATAGAACAATGTTCTCAGCACACCTTTTTCTGCTTAAGGCCTTTTTCTCAACAGTCACACTAAATATAAATATATTTGTCTCTAACTCAAGACTTCTAGCCATCTGCTTTTCTAGCCAACCTTGCCTTCCTTTCATGACTCCAACACATCAATCTTAAATCTCCCCAGATAGCTTCAATGCACCTAAACACACCACACCCAAGACTATTCGGGACTTTTTACCATATTATTTTAGTTACCTAGATTATCTTCTTTTCACCTATCTTAACCTGACATCTTTGAAGTCCAGGCTCCTATCTTTCTAGATTTCCCTAAATGCTGCTGTCTCTTCTTTATATATCTTGAAGGAAAAAATGAAAAGTACATAAACTCTGAGTAGAATGTCTACTTCATTGTACACTGAACCCATGGAAAAGGCTTAAAAACATGAATTGTTTTTTAACATTTAACTCTATCCCAAAAGTCATACAAATTGGACGTTAAGAATTATTTTGATCCCAGACTCACAAAACAAACCCACAACTACTTCTTTAGTTTTAAGGCATTCTAAGAAGTGTATTTTACGTTTAAGATTTTCCAAATCAAGAAAATAAGGTAATAACCTGAATTAACTCTAAGATCCAAAACAGAAAAGATGTTTTAAAATCAAGACTGTGGAACTCAAATACCTTTTATGTGGTCAACGTAGAACTAGATCTCCACTCTGAAGTCTGCATTTAAACACAAAGCCTCAGAGCCTGAAAACCTCTAAAATTGTATCAGTGACTGGCAATTAAACTGGCCTAAAATCATAGAATTTGCCCTATGAAATTCTTAGATTATTTCTAGTGAGTAGTCCCTGAAATGTTCTCAAATGCTCCTTTTATTTAAATTCAGAATATTTTTTTCTAAAATATTTATTTTGGGGGAGAGTGTAATCAGGAGAGGGGCAGATAGAGGGGGACAGCAGATCTGAAGTGGACTCTGTGCTGACAGGCTGAAAGCAGTAAGCCCAATGTGGGGCCTGAACTCACAAACGGAGATCATGACCTGAGCCAGTCAGACACTTGACTGAGTCACCTAGGCACCCCTAAATACAGAATTTTTAAAACTTAGTAGTTCCTCTTCCTAAAAATAACTAAATATAGGTTAAGTATTGATTACTATTAAATGCAAATATAATTTTAATGCTAAATGTTAATAAGAGATTTTCTAGGAAATCAAATCCAAAGACATCAGATAAGCAATTTGCTTAAAACTGTATCATTAATTAAAGCAAAAGGCAGACTTTAGAAATTGCATTCAATTTCAAATACAATGTGCTTTTTATTATTCCACATTAACCACAGTTTATAAAGGAGACTGCATAATTACTTAAAATGTTCAAAAATGAAGATATAGTATTTATAAAATGTGATTTTTTTTAACATAAAACACCTACTTCAGCCATCTCTTCCTCTTCCTCCTCTTCTGAAGTTACTTCTTCTGTTGTCCCATTCTGAAAAGGAAAAAGAATATGCTAGGGCTATACAGAGTAAGCACACACTGAGTACATTAGAAGACTTTAGGGACAAGCTATCATTCATCTGTCACTAAAATTCCACTAAAAGAACTCATTTGTTGAACATTTACTTTTGAATCCAGGTTTGACGTGACAAATAATATTTATCAGTTTTTTAAAAAGAAACAAGTTTGAATAATTCAACTATAGATGTCTTGGGAATAAACAAAAGCAATCAATCAATTATAAAGCAAAACTTCAGAAAATTTTAAAATGTTCTCAAAAGATTTTACTCATAAGGCTATGTACATAAGGTCAAAGCCACTGACTTCTTCCACTTAAAATAAATATTCCAAACCTTGATTTCCTTAAAATAGCTACCTTTTTAACTTTGAAAAGCCTGAATCTTTCCATAAATTCCATTGTCTTACATTTTTTTATTATACATTTTTAAATGTTTATTTTTGAGAGGGAGAGAGGCAGAGCACAAGCAGGAGAGGGTGAGAGAGAGAAAGAGACCCAGAATCTGAATCAGGCTCGCACAGAGCCCAACGCGGGGCTCAAACCCACGATGGATCCATGAGATTGTGACCTGAGCCAAAGTCAGATGCTTAACCGACGGAGACACCCAGGTGCCCCACCACTGCCTTACATTTTAAAAGGTCTAATGTGTTATAAAGGAGTAGACATTTCACAAAACTAAAAATTATAAAATGATCACCATTTCACTATAGAGCCACTTTTCTTTTTTGCAATATGTCATTTTACCACAGAATACTTCTCTGCAAGACACAATTGTCAACTCATTCACAAGGAACCTGACGGGGTTTAAGAAGGACCTTCATAACTAGTTTTAGCAGAGCTCAAAAAGACAACTTTTCTAAACCAGAGCAAAGTTCTCTACAACACAGTGGATAAAGTTAGGAGGATTTTTCTGTCTTTCCAGAAATACTTGCTGTATTTGTTCCAAGTATAGCTGGTAAGGATCACTTTATTATATAGGAGGCCTAACTTGATGGCCTCTTACTGTGGGTGTCAGAGCCAGAGAGAAAGGCACATTTAAAAAAAATATAACTCAACACAGTAGCAAAATCTAATAAACCCCTCTCTTCCTTTTACTCAGAGGAGTTGGAAAGTCGGCCTGCCAGAACCTCCCCATTCACATGTCATAGGTGTACAAATCAGGAGAGTGGAGGCCACAGCAGAGAAGACTGACAATTGTGGAGGACAGTCATATTAACCACTGACAATGATTAATGGTATGCCTCATCTATGCAGATAGCCAAGTACCACCAGATATTTAAAGAAAACCAGCAATTGGGGCGGGGCGGGGGGGGGAGGCACACCAAGTTGAACGAACAGAAGAGGTGACCAGAAGCATTATTAATGAAGAAGATAAAACAATTAAAAAATCTAATTGGAATCTTTAGCAATACTTACGATATTGCATCCACAAAATATAAAAAATTTTCTGTGCAAAGGAAAAGGCAATTCTAGGAAATCAAAAAGAATCAATCAGAAAAAAAAGATACAAAAACACCTGGTAGAAGGGCCAGAGAACACAATAGATTTGAGGACCAAAACATTTATAATTAAGACGATGACCAAATTGTAACATTGCCTTAGACTGCAGAGAAAAAGGAGATAGGGGATGGGAGAGGAAGGGGTTCAGAAAAAGAAGAGTTAAGGGATATAGGAGATAAGAATATAGAGAACTAATATTCATCCACTGTTCATCCATAAAACTGAGGGAAAGAAATAAGAGACAAAGGCTGACAAGCTAAAGAAAGATTTCAAATATTAAATGGCTGTGAATGCCCCAAAGGAATATTGAAAAGTAAAACTCTGTACTTTACAGTTAAAGAAAAAAAAAACCATGCCAACGTTCAAAAAGAAAAATTATAGAAAAAGAATCGGGCATCAGGCTTTTCACCTGCAGCAATAAATCTTGGAAGATAAAAGTGTAAAGAACCTAGAAGAGACTCAATTATGAACTCAGAATTCTGTATGTAGTTCCAACAGGACAGGCGCAATTTCTGTGTTTCTTCTCCCCTGGATTATCAGCACCTATACAGAGTACTTTACACAGAGTCAGGTGTTGAATAAATAATAAAACAGACACCGAGTACTCAAGGAACACTCTCCATATACATCCCCAGAAATCCTTTCTAGAAATAATAGAGGACATGATTCAGGGATATATTTTTGGAGGTGGAAAGCAACCATGGAATACAAGAAATGGCAATAAGCAAAGACATAATAACACCAATGGTTAAGTTGAAGTAATTGTACAGGCCATATTCTCTGACCAGAGAAAAACTAAAAATAGCCCCAAAGCCACCTAAGAATGTTAAATTTTTTTTCTAAAGAACTCTTAAGTTTAAGAAGAAATTGATCCTCACATCCCAGTAATCCAACTTCTAAGTATGTGACCAGAAAAATGCTTGCACAGGTGTTCCACAAAATATGGACAAGAATGATCATAGTAGTACTATTCCTAAGAGCAAGCTGGAATCAACTCAAATGGATAAAAATGTTATGGTATATTCAAACAATGGAATACAGAAATGAAAAATGGAATACAGAACTACAGCTACACATATTATGAATAACTTCAATACATAATGTTAAGCCAAAAACAGACATGAAAGAACACATATGACTCTTAATATGAAGCTTAAAAACAGGCAGCAGTAAATCACATTGCTCAGAAAGGTGGATATAGATGATAAAACTAGAGAAAACAAAGATTAGCATAGAAGGGAATGATTATCTGGAAGGAGCCTGCAAAAGGTTTCAAGCACTAGCAACAGTAGGTTTCTTCACATGGGTTGGGGACTGGGTGGTCATTCCCAAGTATTCACTGTAATTATTACACTAAACTTATGGACAAAAGATGGAATCAAACCACTCTGGAATTACAAACTACTTAGAAAAGAAATATACTACATTTTAAAGCCTATGCAAGGAAATCAAATAGCACTAAGAAAATGTATACCTTTGTTAAGAAAGCAATTTAAATCAAAATGATCCAATAAACTAGAAAAGCAAAAGGAGAGTTAAGACTCACACAAAAATGAAAAAGAAAATTGGATTAAAAAAAATAAAAGGACTGATTCTTTCAAGAGACAAATAAATAGACAAGCTTCTGATGAGTAATCAATGATAAAACTAGGAAAAGAGCTTCATAACCATAGATTTAAAAGTATAAATGAAGTAATCATTTTATTAGAAACTTAAAATTACTAAAACTGGACTAAAGGAATGGAAAATATGAAGACTAATACATGGAAAAAAATGGATCAGGCTCAGATGTTCAATTAAACCAGGGTTTTGCAATCTTGGAAGTATTGATAATTGGTGCTAGATAATTCTTTATCATGCAGGACTGACATGACATTGTAGCACACTTAGGAACATCCCTCTTCCCACAAAATGCTACCCAACCATTTATGACAACCAAAATTATCTCCAAATGTTTCCAGAGGCCTCATGAGAGGCAAATTTGGACCCTTTTGAGAATTTATGTCCTAGACCACAGAAAAAAATATATAAAGCTTACCAAGTCATCTTACAAGACTACATAACCCTAATACTGAAATGAAACACAAGAAGAACCTAAAAAGAAGCAAATAAACCAAAATACTTTACAATCTCACTTAAAGTAGAACAAGCCAAAAATAAAGTATTATTATATCCATCATGTCCCTCTTGTCACCACCTACGCAGGTGCTGCGTATTTATTATGAAATACAGGATGATTCACAATTAGTAAACTTCTTTACACAATTCACAAAGTATATATCTATATAGAATTATACGTACAATCATGAAAAACAAGGTAGATCTACACATACTGTGTCCATAATGTATTGTTAAGTAAGAAACCAAGGTTGCAGACATTCCAGAGAGAAAAAATTGAACACAAAATATATATATTTCTCCCATTTTCTCTTTCTTAAGTCTCCATAGAATTATAATGAATAAACCCTATATAAACACACAATGATAACAAAAAGGAAGTGGGGCTACCAGCAGAAAAGAATTCATGCATACTAGCAGATGACAATACATGGAAGAACAATAATTAATAGAGCAAACAAGCAAAGTAGTTTAGGGGGTTGGTTATAGGAGGCTAATTTGTCCCACTGCACCCTGGAGAGGCTCAAGACTCTTAAGACACCCAGTAGCCTGGACAGCAGGAGTAATGGACAGGACTGAAAACAGGTATCTACCTTAAGCAGGAGATAAGAAGGTTTCATATCCAAAGAAACCAAGGAGTTCCAGCTGCCATTTATTATTTATTATACCAGGAAATAGACAGGTGGGGAAGAGGGGTTGGAAATGCCCTTAAATTTCTCCTAAAAAGCTATCAGTTGACAAGTCTTGGCCACAAAGAACTCTGTCATCTTTTTAGTACCTCTCTAAAGAAATATATGAATAAGAAAAAAAGGAAGAAAAAGAAAACTATAAATGAGCAATATAGAATAAATATAGGTATTTGAGGAAAGTCTTAAGAAAAAATGACCAAGACAGACTAGAAAAAAAACTTATTAAAGAGGAAATAGAGACTCTAGAGAGGGAGAGAATAAAGGTAGCTTACCTTAAGGGTAGCTCCTTAAAGACACTTATGAATATATCTATAAATCAGAAATAAAATGCTATGAATAAATAATCAGAGAATAAGGAAACGCTCTTAGAATTTATATCACTGGAGAGGACCTCCAATGACCACATCCTCCAGCATTCATCCCCCTACATAGTCCCCTCCCAAAGTCAATCTGGACTTGTCCCATGACTTGCTTTAACCAATAAATATGGTAGAAATGCCACTGGGCCAGTTCCAGATCTAAGCCTTAAGAAGGCCTAAGAGCTTCTACTTTTGTGCTCTTGGAAGCCAAAAATTAAGAATTCTGACTACCTTCCTGAATGGAGGGAAGCCAAAAGAAGGGGTCCATCCAAGAAGAGGATGAGAAGCCATGTGAAAAGAAAGGCTGGGTGGAGAAACACGAAGGCACCACATATAGGAGTTAAAAAGCCATTTTAGACATTCCATTACAGTCAGGTGTCCAAATGACTACCAGTCCCAGCCACTATCTGACTATGCAGGAAGGCCAGCAGAAAAAAACTGTCCAGCTAAGCCTAATTAACCCACACAATTGTGAGTAATAGAATAAATTCAGTTCAGGGTAACTGGGTAAGCAGCAATAAATCAAAACCAAAACGTTATGCTGTCCAAATAATATATTCAAAAATTGGAGGAAAAAACTTCCAGAATTTGAAATTAAAAGACAGAGACAGAATATGGAGATAATATAGAAGATACAAGAACTCAAGCAAAGAAGTCTAAAACCCCATTAGTAGGCATTCCAAAAATGAACAAATAAAGAAAATGGAAAGGAGAAAGTTATCACAGAAAAAAATACAAGAACACCGAACCAAGGAGAAAGATTAAGGAGTCCACATATGAAAAAGGCCCATCCATACCGAGTCTCAAGGAACAGTGTGAGGAAGAAAAAATAGAGGGGCAGGGAGAGGCGGAGAGAGAGACTGCAACTAAAATATGCCAGTGTAATATTTGAGAACGCCAAGAAAAAGACAAACTTTTAAGTTTCCCAAATCACGCATAGAGGAGTGAGACTCAGAATGGCATCAGGCTTAAACAGCATCATTGGCTAGAAGATGACAGGTCAGTCTTTGAAATTTTGAGGGAAAATTATTTTCAACCTAGAATCACATATTCAACTATCAATCAAATGTGACCGTAAAATATAATAGCATGTAACATTTGTTGGGCATTTTCTGTGTGCCAGGCACTGCTCTAAATGATTTACATGCACCAACTAATTTTATCTTCCTAGCTTCTCCCAATTATAGGTACTACTACTATTTCTCCCATTTCACAAAAAAGAAATTGATGCACACAGTGGTTGGGTAATTATCCCAAGGTCAGAAAGCTAATAAGCAGCAGCACCAAGATTCAAACCTATAGTGGTCTGGCTATATATTTATTTATCTATCTGTCTGAGAGAGAGAGAGAGACAGACAGACAGACAGAGTGAACAGGGGAGGGTCAGAGAGAGAGGGAGACACAGAATTGGAAACAGGCTCCAGGCGGGGCGCCTGGATGGCTCAGTTAGTTAAGCGTCTGACTTCAGCTCAGGTCATGATCTCACGGTTCGTGGGTTCGAGCCCCGCATCAGGCTCTGTGCTGACAGCTCAGACCATGGAGCCTGCTTCAGATTCTGTCTCCCTCTCTCTCTGACCCTCCCCTGCTCGTACTGTCTCTCTCTCTCAAAAATAAAATAAACATTTAAAAAAAAAAAAAAAAAAAAAAGGAAACAGGCTCCAGGCTCTGAGCTAGCTGTCAGCACAGAGACAGAGAGCGGGGCTCAAACCCACCAACCGTGAGATCACGACCTAAGCCGAAGTAGAACGTTCAACCAACTGAGCCACCCAGGTGCCCCTGGCCATATAATTTTAGATATTAGAATTCAGAAAGTGTACGACTCCTTCATACTAGGATTCTACTGGAGGATGTACTCAGGCAAAATGAGAAAGGGTAAGCAGAAAAGTAATGAGATCAGGCAACAAATGGATCCACACTGGCTGAGGAGACAAAATTTCAAGATGACAGCTGCACAGCCAGACCACAGAACAACCTGCCAAGAGTGGTGCAGAAGAACCAAAGGCTCCAGAAGAGAGACCAAGCTCACAGAAAAGGGACAGAACACCACTTTCTAAACTAAGAATTATTATTACCATGAAGAGGACATTACAAAACAAAACGCTCTACAAGAATGTCATAACAGAGTCTATACCAAAAAGTCCTAATGATAAACACTAATTCTTCATATGGCTAAATATAATGGTGTTTTAGGAAGGGGAGATGGCAGCGAAGGTGGGTGGTCTAAGAGCTAAATCCTTATCTACTTATAGTACAAAGTCAATAAATTAAGCCTTAAACAGGTAATTTTGGACATCCAGAAAAGTTAGAGATGGTGGTGAACAGGTGGGCACTTCTGCTTGGAGGAAATAACATTCTGGTTAGGCCTTAAGAAGCACAGATAGGTTTAAGGAGATGACATTCCAGGTGAAGGTCAATGAACAGGCAAAGGCAAACAACTGAAGAAGGAACAGTTATGGAAATCAGGAATGTTAACAATGACAAATGGTAGTTGGTAGCGGGGCAGTTGTTGCCCCGGTCAGATCATAGTAAATACAAGCAGCTCCAAAGAATAAAAAGATTATTTTTAGTACTTAAAACAAACAATTCAACAAAACTAACTTCTAAATAACTTGTATAATAAGAAGAAAAACCATCCTAGTTTTACTTTTGCTTGAGACAATTTATTTTAGCTCTTAAACACTAGAGAATTTTTACTTTACCTGACCCGTGGGTATTGGTTGATCTAGCATCTCAACATCCAGGTGCTTAGGAAGGTTATATAATCTGCAGAGTTCACATATCAACCACTTCAATTGCTGACGAAGCTACAAAACACATTTCAGTAAATAAGCATTATGTTAAAGAGCCCTTAGAAGACATGAATAATGCTATGACTACTGTAACCAATCCAGTAGGAAACAAAGAAAGTTTGTTTCTGCTCAATTACAGCCTACAGATAAAAATAATAGTCTTTAAGAAATATTTTTAGGGGTTGCTAGTATAAGAAAGTTACTATGGCTTGGGGCACCTGGGTGGCTCAGTTGGTTGAGCCTCTAACTTCGGCTCAGGTCATGATCTCACTGTTAGTGAGTTTGAGCCCTGTGTTGGGCTCTGGGTTGACAGCTTAGTCTGAAGCCTGCTTTGGATTCTGTATCTCCCTGTCTTTCTGTCTCTCTTTCAAAAACAAACACTAAAAAAAGAAAAAGAAAGTTACTATGGCTTGAGTATGATCCCTACAACTAATACCTAGAATGACAATAGTAAAAGTGCCTGAAGGAGAACTCTAGACATTGTCCAATTTTCAGTTACTAACTCCTTTTCTTAGAAATTTACAACTTCAGACAAGAATACATTTACATTAATGAGGCTACAAAAAATAGAGGCAGTGTTGTTACACATAGGTTATAAAATTATACATTCCAGTCATATTCATTTACAAGTAGAGGCAAATGTAGTCTAGCAGACAGACCCCTGGAATCTAGAGGAACTTAGATACAGCATCTGCTTCCCTTAGGTTTTGAGAGTCCCCATCTATAAAATAAGGAAATTAAAGACTTCTTTTAATGGTAAAGATTAAACGAAACCTTCTGTGAAAACATTTGGCACTTAGTAGTTCTTAAGCATTTATCTAAAGAAAAAAAAAAAACTCACTAGGAAAACTCTAAGGAATAACTCAGTAAGTTCCCAGTTTTACACCCAGGTTGTTTTGCAAGTCTATTTTAGCAAAGGGGCAAGGTAAATTATGTTTATGAATAGGTCTTTCACTGTTGGAAAAAAAAAAAACAGTTTTTAATGTATACATGTAGGAATTGCGGTCTAAGAACCATGTTCAATACTTAGTGGACTTTACCTGGAGCTAGTACGGTAACTTATTTCAACTGGTCAGAATAGTTTCCTGGATGTGTCTGACCAAGAAAAGAGATGAAGAAGCAGCTTTATGAAGCACTAACAAAACAGAAAGAGGATTAAAATGGGTTAAACAAAGCAAAGAATAAGATTTTCCAAAGTAGTCAAATGAATAAGCAGAAATTAGAAAGTTGAGCAGTAAATTAGGATTAAAAAAAAAAATCCTTATGCTTAAAAGGCAGCAAAGCCCCTGTGGATTTACCCCTCCAAAAGCTCTGCTTTAAGAACATAATAAAGATGAGAAAGGGAGACCTGGACACAGACCCAGTCACTCCAAGCCCTGGCAAAGGAAGAGCTGTAGGAGTGCTGTGGAAGAGCAGCTGTATAGTAGAGTCATACCAAGCAACAGGAAAAACAGGGTTGTACATCTTTCAGGAAATTTCAGTTTCTTCCTCTGCCAACCCCCCCAAAAGCATTTGAAGGACGGATGAAACTAAGATGATGGGAAAAGATTTAAGAAATATTTAGAAGGTAGATGGACAGGTCTACTTGCTAGTTAGTTTGGGCAGAGGAGGTGCCAGGAAATATTAGGTATAAAAGAGAACTTTTTTCCCAGTTTTGGGCATAAATGACAAGCTTCATTATTTCATTTTGTCCCACTCAATCACAAAGAGAATTACTGAGGGGAAACTTGGTGGGGGTGGTAGAGTACTTTGAGGCAGGTAAGTTTAAATTTAGATGTAATCATTTTTAACAGCTATGGTACATCCCAGTGAGATTCCCTGATCTATGTGACATATATGGGTTTGAAACTTAGGAGGTAAATTTTAGCTAAAGATACAGACTTAGGAATCCCTGGAATATAGTGATTTAAATAACAGCAGTAAAAGAGATTTCTCAGAGAAAGCACAGAATGAGAAGAGGCAGACCAAGGGAGAAGAGCTCAGGGAAGACCAGAGAAAACAGGAGACCATAAGTAATCTGATGCAATTCCTCGTTAGATTATCAGTTCCCAGAGGACAGGGATAAGACTTGACTTTTGTATCCACCACTTATCACAAAGTCTGGCATAGAAGCCAGTCAATTAAAAAAATAAACAAAAAAAATTTAATTTTTTTCTACTACATTTTTGTTCTACTATTCTACCCACATAGATTCCGTTCTATCTATGTTCTACCCATACAGATAGCACAGATACCATTTTTTGTTTTGTTTTGACAACACTGAATGCAAAAGGGGCCAGGTTATAAACAATGTTCAGTGCTTTGCTTTTTCACTGGTAGATCCTGGAAAGTTGCATGTGTTCCTATGGAAAGACTGGCTGCGTTATTTTTAATTACAATATAATGTCCTATCATAAATCCATTAACAGTAATTTTTAATCAGCTTTTTATTGGCAGACTTTAAGTGATAAAGTTTTGTTAAATGGAGGAATGTTTCAACAAGGGAACAATCAACAGTATCTCAATGCTGCAGAGAGATCAATGTTATGGTGAAAGAAGGAGTCCCTGGATTTGACAACTAGAGATAAAAATTCTTGGTGCAACAATGAAGACAGAATCTAGATTATAATAAAAAAGAGTAAAGCAAAGGTGAGGAAATACAGCTTATTCTATCAAGAAACTAGGTTATAAAATAACTGGCAGAGACTGTAAGAGTAGAGAGTGATTTGGTTTTTGTCTTTCTTGTAAATATATTTTTAAAAAAGAGACCCAATTTAATGTGCTTTGTCATTTCACTTTGAGCATTTTTGGATGAAAAATTTTAGACACTGAAAAATAACCCAGTCATTTCTACTATTATAAAACTTACACCTTTATATCTTTTCAGAGGTAACCTTCTAAGAAGAGACAGCAGTAAGGAGGCTGTCTTACCCTATCCTGTCACTCCCCTCCTGGAGATGTCAATATGTGTCTGTCTAGCTTTTTACTTTTATCTCTAACCTTCATAGCTCTCTAGACCGTCTGCTCCATTTTTGTTTTTTTGGTTTTTTTAATGTTTTTAAGTTTGTTTATTTTGAGAGAGAGACAGAATGAGCAGGGGAGGGGCAGAGAGAGAGAATTCCAAGCAGGCTCCACACTGTCAGCACAGAGCCAGATGTGGGGCTCAAAGTTGCAAGCCAGAAGTTCATGACCTGAGCCAAAACCAAGAGTCTGAGGCTAAACTCACTGAGCCACCCAGGCGCCCCCAGCCTACTTTTAAAATACTCTTCAAACTGACATTCTTCTACTGTTAATTTTAAGAATAAAGTGTTTAAACTACCTATAACTCATTTTGACAAAAATCTAAGGTTAAGATTTCCCAATGGTCAGTTCTCTCAGTATTTATAGAATAATCTACCCTTTCCTTATTATTTTAACTCATTTTAACTTATTCTGAATTATCAATTGCAAGACTGTTTCTAAACTTCTATTGTCTTTGTCCAATCCAGTGACAGTATACAATACTTTTATTTAATATATTTTGGACAAATCTCATTACTTTTTTCAACTTTTTTTTTATTATTTACTCTTTAAAACAAACTTTCGAGTCATTTTGTCAAGGTCCAAAAATAAGACTATCGGGACTAATTGCATTCAATTTATAAATTAACATGAAGCTATGGAGATAACTGACATATTAATAATATGGAGTCTACCCATCTAAAAACACAGTAGTCAAGTCTTTCATTCCATGTTAATTTTAAAAAAGGATATAAAACTGTATAGAATATGACTTAAACATACTAGAGTCTACGTATTTTACTAGCAAGAGAAAAAATAGAAACAGCTATCATGTCAACAGTGGTTATATCAGGAAAAAATATTGTAAGGAATTTTTATTTCCCTTTATTTACTAAGTTCTCGTACAACAGTTGCTTAGTTTTATAGTAAAAAAAACAATTTTTTTTGTAAAATAGAAAGTTACATTTCTTGGTACATTAAAGAAACAAAAAACAAACTCACTTTTTCTTTGTATACCTATGGCTTTTACTGCAGTTACAGACTCCTGACAGAGAAAGCAATTCCCTAACACTAACATTGATGTCATTCTAGCATGATTTCCCCTCACATCCACCTCAGTTCTTTTTCCCTTTTTCTACCTTTTACCTTGGCAAGTGGTCCCTACCAAAAATGCTTGGTTGGTTTAATAATCAGAATTCATTGAAAAGAGACCACCTAATTCCTCATCTAAATTTAAGCTTAACTTATGGGGAATAAAAAAGATAAATCAGTTAGTAAATAGAATTTGAAGGCCAAAAAACAGACAAACAAAACTGGTCTTCAGCTCCTTTACGATTACCAAATAATCATTAATCAGACTTTTCTATGTCATAATATCTCTTAACACTTAAGTTCTATATATAATGTTCTTGAGGAAAAAAAAAAAGTAGCTTGGCTTATTTTCTCACCGAATTGTTGTTCTTAGTGTCTTCTAGACGTTCCAGCACTGATGTCAGATTTGGGTCATCAGAGTCCACAAACCATATTGGTGAAGAAGATGGGTAAGATTCCTGTTACAGAGACGCCCATGTTAAACACATTTTCATACCGACTAACCTGAATATGCAAATACACCTCACCACCCACCAAATAGCATGATGACCATGGATTTAAGTAAAATATAACAGGAAGAAGAAAAGAAACACATTAACACCTAGGTTTGGAGAAGTTTCTTTTTATGGATTTTTTTTTTAACACAAAGTGGTGTTGTTGCCTGCTCCATGTTACATAATCTATAAATTCAAAATCAAATAAAAAGAGTATTTTACCCAGTAAGCGGTAGCATTTAAACTAGAGAAGATAAACTGCAAAAGTTTTTTATCAAAAGCTGAAAAGAAAAGGTACTCAAGCACCAGGAAGATGGACTTGCTTCCCTTACGAAGAAAGGTCAATCATAGCCTGGATTCTCCAGGTTTGACATTTTTTAAGGGCTTTAAAATCTTGAATCATAAACAAATCCCTCAAAAAGCAAAAAAAAAAAAAAAAAAAAAAAAATGTTTTAAACGGAAAAAACTCACAACCTTGAAGTATAATCTATAAATTTAAATCATACTTTTGCCTTTTAATAAGAAAGCTACATTTAAAAATGTTTAAAAATTTTTAACATTTATTTAGTTTTGAAAGACAGAGCATGAACAGGGGAAGGGAAGAGAGAAAGGGAGACACAAAATCTGAAGCAGGCTCCAGGCCCTAACCTGTCAGCACAGAGCCCAACACAGGGCCTGAACCCAGAACCAGGAGATCATGACCTGAGCCGGACACTTAGCTGAATGAGCCACCAAGGTGCTACATTTCTAAACTTAACCCAGATGAGATCTAGCTCCATTTTTAAAGGTAAAGCAAAGGAGTAAATCTAAGCACATGTTTTTAAATCCATATAGATGTTAAAATGCTTTTTAAAACTTCTACTCACTATACTCACTGAAGAGTTATAGAAGTTACCTTGAGATTTTTTTCCATTAGAAAATTGGCCCTAAAAAAAAATCCCACTTAATTTTGTCTTTTTCCTAATAATTTTCATCCCTTCTCAGAATATAGGGAGGGATGTGGTTTCCAAAGGAACAATAAATTTCTTAAATTAGGTTAAGATTATTTCTTAAATATAGCCAGTATAAGAAGTCAGAACAAATACAGTTTTCACTTGCCATTAGAAGATGGGCTTTTGAGACATTCTCCTTGTCCAGCCACTGTGTGTGTGCCACAGCTCAGAGGTCAATAATGTTCTTGAACACCTGTAGTGAGCAACCTCTGAAATGGTCCCAATAATCCTAACCTGGTAATTCCCTCTCCTAGACCTAATGACTCACTTTTAACAAACAGTACATCAAATAATGGGATGTCACCTCTAGGATTAGGTTTCCAAAAGATGTGAACTTCTGTGTTGCTTATCCTCTCCTGCTCTCTTTATTTATTCTCTCTGACTGAAGCCATCTCCCTATTGAGAGTCCCACAACCACATGGCAAGAGTTTGAGAGAGACTTCTGACCAACTGCCAGCTAGAAACTGTGGCCCTCAGACCTGGGGGCTGTAAGATTAACCTTACCAAAAATTATATGAATGAGATTGGAGACAGATTCTCTCTCAGTCTCACTTTGAGAGCACTGCAGCACTAGTTGACCCCTTTACTTTCTTGTGAGAGACTCGGAGCCAGGGAACCCTGATAAGCCATACTCAGATTCCTGACCCACAGAAACTGAGATAATTTTTGGTGTTTCAGGCTGCTACATTTATTACAGAGCAATATATAACTGATTCAAGTTCCATAAAATTCCAATATTTTATTCCATCACAAACTGAATACTATCAAGAATGATCAAGAAATGCTAGTTACATATTTTTAAAAGCAGTTACATATGTTGATTTTTAAAAGTTAATGAACATACCATTACATGCTTTCACCTACTAATAGATATTTACTCTGTTCATTTATACTGTCTTCTACTGCAAATTAGGGAAAGTCATTAATATTAGATACTAGCGACAGAACAATTAGATTCTAGTCATGGAAAAACAATTTTGCAGAACAAGATTAAAGCAGCATTGCTTTAAGAACTATAATCTCAATTACAGTATAGTTCAAGCTAAACGGAACGGAGTATTATTAAAGCATTTTACTAAATACCCTTTGAAGAACAAAAAATTGTACTATAGAAGGGCATCATTGTTATCTCTTTACTAATGGTTTATCTTGTATTCCCATTCCTCTAATTCTCATTGTGTCCCAAATCTCTTCACATACAAAAAGAAAATTGGTCTTCAAAATTAATCCTATTCTTAAAGAAAACTAATTATTATGTTTTTAAAATTTATTTCTGAGAGAGACAGCATGAGTCAGTGGCGGGTCAGAGAGAGAGGGAGACACAGAATCTGAAACAGGCTCCAGGCTCTGTCAGCATAGAGCCCGACGTGGGGCTCAAACCCATGAACCGTGAGATCATAACCTGAGCCGAAGTTGGTTGCTTAACTGACTGAGCCACCTAAGCACCCCTGAAAACTACTTATTATTGAGTATTGCATTTTCTTCAAATTCTTCAGCCAAGTTAGTTTTATATTTGCAGCCTTAAAAACAGTATCAACATCAACACCAATACAAAAACCTAGATTTAGAACTTCACTGTGTAGATTACTTCTGCACGAGCAAAATAAAGTATATGAACTGTTGCTCAGAACTGAAACACCTTAAAACCATATTATGAGAACTGCAACAACAAAAAATTACCGAGATCAGTTGCTATCTAAGACATGCTTTTCCATTCCTGTACATGAGAAGGTAGGATATATAGTAGATCTAAGCAATTATATCAACAATTTTCAAAGAGGGGCCCTTGAACCCCAAGGTTCAAACTAGTTCTACAAGAATTTGAACTGCCTTTTTCAATGTATTGACACTTGCGCTAAAGTGTATGTATGTATGCATACATACAGTGGTGCATAAAACTGCTGGAACCTTAGCACAAATAAAGGCAGTGATTACCATACTATACTTATAGTCATGGTATTCTTCACAACTACGTATTCAAGATGTTTAAAGGACAAAGAAAAAGGTGTTTTACTTAAGAATATCTGTGAAGAAGTAAAGTTATTTTACTAAACCTCAAATCCTTACATAGGTCTTTTTAATATGGCTACTGATGAAATGGAATGCACATACAAGAACTCCTACAGAATACTTGAGAAACAGCATTTATGTGACTGAGTTGTGAAGTAAACTAACCACTTTAATGAAACACCAATTTTACTTGAAAGGATGACTGACTGACAGACAATGGTTATTTCAACTTGGGTTTTTGACATATATTTTCTCAAAAATAAAAAAAGGATTGTGTGTCATTCAAGGAAAATAAAGGACAGTATTTGTTACTGCCAATAATAAAATTCAAGCTTTCAAGCAAAAATTAGAATTTTTGAAAACCTGTATCTACCACCATGAGCTGGAAAGCTTTCCAAGGGTATTCTGAGGAGACTGATGGTGATCTTAATATAATGCTTTCACATTATATAATAAACATAACAATTAGAAGATTCCAGCGAACATATTTTCCAAACAACCAATGTAGGTTATAAATCATGCAAGGAGGTGGGGGATGGGCTAAATGGGTGATGGGCATTAAGGAGGGCACTTGTGGTGATGAGCACTGGGTATTATACGTAGGTGATGAAAATTCTACTCCTGAAGTCATTATTACACTATATGTTAACTAACTAGAATTTAAATAAAAATTTGAAAAGAAATATCATGCAAGGGTAGAAGATCCATCCATGCACAGTTCAAGAAGAACCTAATTTTGGTGAAGCATCCAAAAAGAATTATCTACATTTAAATGGCTACTAAAATATTTCTATTTTTTTCCAACCAAGTATCTGTGTGAGGCTGAATTTTCTTCATGATACTTCAATCAAAACACTGACTGAATGTAGAAACAAATGACAGGCCAGTCATCAAAGACATTTATTAGAAATGTAAACTTATGCCACTATTTTCACTAAAACATTTTGGCATAGAAAATATAGCCATTTTTCCTAATAATATTTTTATTAACATGTAATGGGTTTATTTCAATGAATATTTTAAATATTTCTGTTTTAATTTCTAATGATAAATACTGACATACAACCAACATAAACAAAGGTTCCTTGGTTCCTCAGTATACTTTTAAATAGTATAAAGAAATCTTGACTCCAAAAAGAATAGCTGCCTTCTCCACACCTCCTATCTAGCCCAGAATGTCTTCTTTGGAAGAAACATCCCTTCACCATTCTATATTAACCTATGTGGTTCCACTAGAGCTAGTTTTCCTAACTGCTTCCCATCGTCCTACCTCTCTCCCTTGACCCCAAACTTGGTCACAGGTCTCTAATGAGCCTATTCCACTCCCAGTGATTAGCAGTCAGATGGGCTTAACCAGGCAAATCTAGGTCTTCTTTGGGGCTAAAATTCTCTTTCTGGGAGATTTGGAGTCATAAGGACAATGTTGGCCAGCCTGGGATAGCCAGCATTTACCTTACCAAAACAAAAAGGGTTTATATAAACCAAATGGTCTTCTAGAAGGTCATAGATACTTGTATTTTTTGCCATGACTTGAGACTACACACTTGCTAACATTTTTACCAATCTGTTAAATAAAAGCTTCTACCTGGAAGGGGAAAAAATTCCTATACAATATAATTTGTTACAGCTCCAGAAATCAGTAAGAATGGAAAGCCATCACTTCTAGGAAAGTTTTCATAGGGTAATGTCCTACATGCACAAAGATTTAGCTCTAGCTATTTATCTCCAAAACATTACTTAAAATAGAAAAAATAGAAATCACCTATATGTCCAATACCAGGAATCATGACAAATTCAATGTTTTAGTCCTACAACAGAACACCATATGATAATGGAGAACATTATAGAGCAATAACTTATGATACAGATCTACAATTCTGTCAAGTAAAAAAAACAGATTACAAAACAATCTGACATTTAGGGTGAGGAAGTCTATATAAGCATAGGAAAAAAAAGACAAGA